TCCACTTGCCTGTGGTCTGTAAGGAGTATGCAGTTGCCAATCTATCTTTAGAATCTTACTTATCTGCTGTACCACTTGCACACAAAAATGTGAAACTATCAGAAGACATTGCTACTAGAATCCCAAAGCATGGTATTATTTCATTTAACAAGACTTTAACCACTTCTCTTGCTTTGTTTGTTCGACAGGGAAAGGCTTCAGGCCTTTCTGAAAATGTGTCAGTCAGAACCAGTAAATAACGATACCCCCCTTTTCTAGGGAGTTCTGAAAAATCAATTTGCCACTGTTGCCATGAATAATTTCCTTTACCGATTATTCCAAATTTTATTCTCTTCTTGGTATTGGGGTTATTGTGTAAGCAAATGCTACATTGTTGAGTTACTTGTTTTATCGTATCATCCCACTAATGTCTGACTCGGGCTCTTATGCAGTGTGCCAGCTCCCCAATGTGTTTTATTGTGTTCTGTAAGAACTATGGGCCATGCCAAATTAGAGGGTATTATTATGCGGTTATCTTTTAAATATACTCATCCATCTGGTTTCATTTTACCTTTCAAATCTTCAATTCATTTTAAGTCTTCTTTTGTATGGTTTGGATATAGTTTGGATTTTACTGTCTGGTATCAAAGACAATGCCTTCACCTCAGTTATTTCAGCTGCCCGCTTAGCCTCTGCCAAGCGATTTCCAATTTCAAAATCAGTATTCCCCTTCTGGTGTCCCTGACAATGCATGATAGCTACCTTTTCGGGTTGTTTTACAGCCTCTAACAACTTTAAAATTTCTTCAGCATACGTTATGTGTTATCACTGAGCGGTCAGCAATCCATGTTCTTTCCAAATTGCTCCATGAGCATGTATCATGCCGAATGTATATTTAGAATCTGTCCAAGTATTTATTTTCCTTCCTGCTGCTAGTTCCAGTGCTCACGTAAGAGCAATTATCTCTGCTTTCTGGGTGGATGTCCCAGGGGGTAATGGTTTGGACTCGATTACCTGTTGAGTGGTTGTAATGGCGTACCCTGCCTTACATTGTCCTTGTTTCACAAAGCTGCTTCCATCAGTATACCAAGATTCGTCAGCATCTTCTAAAGATTCTTCCTTAAAATCGGGTTGATTAGAATACACAGTCTCCATTGTTTCTATACAACCATGGGTTATGGGTTCATCCAGAGTTCTACTAAGGAAAGAAGCTGGATTTACGATGTTAGTGACCACAGTTTCCACATCATCTTGTTCTACTAATATTGCTTGATATTTTAAATTCATCAATTCTTGTTTAAGTTGTTTAAAGACTTTTTGTGCTTCTCCAGTCCAGACTAACTTTGACTGGTTAATCTTTATCAAATCACATAGAGGCTTCACCAATAGTCCATAATTATAAATCCAAAGGCGACACCAACCTGTCATTCCTAAAAAGGTTTGTAGCTCCTTTACCGTTTGAGGTTCTGAAGTCCGGCAAATGACTTCCTTATGTTCAGTTCCTAGTTGTCGTTGTCCTCCCGAAATTTCAAATCCCAGATAGGTCACACTTTGTTGAGCCAGCTGGACTTTCTGTCAAGAGACTTGATATCCATTTAAACCCAGAAAATTAAGAAGACTTATAGTCCATTGAATGCAACTCCCTTTAGTCTCGGTAGCTATTAAGAGATCATCTACATATTGTAACAAAGCACCTTCAGTGTCCGGAGGCATCCAAGTTTCGAGTTCCCTTGCTAATTGGTTTCCAAAAATAGTGGGGCTATTCTCGAATCCTTGAGGTAGTACTGTCCACGTCAGCTGCGTCTTTCTGCCTGAATCGGGATTTTCCCATTCAAAGGCAAATAGGTTTTGGCTTTCTGTGGCTAAGGCTAGGCAGAAGAAGGCGTCTTTTAAATCCAGTACGGTAAACCAGACTTGACTATTCTTTAATTTAGTCAGCAAAGTATAAGGGTTTGCCACTACTGGATGTATATCCTCGGTGATTTTATTTATGGCCCTCAAATCCTGAACTAACCTATAGCTTTTTCATCTGCCTTTTTAATTGGCAATATGGGTGTATTGTATTCTGATTCGCATTCAATCAATAATCCATACTGTAAAAATTTATCAATTATCTCTTTAATTCCTTTCCTATCTTCTATCCTCAAAGGATATTACTTAACCTTAATGGGTTTCTCTCCTGGCTTTAATTTAATAATTATTAAGGTCACATTTTTAGCTCTTCCAGGGACTTCGGTAGCCCAAGCTCCTGGACATACTTGATCTGTGATCTCTAAAGGTATTTCACTTTTAGGGTCAGTTTGTATTAGTGCCAAGCTTAACACATTTATTAGTTGTTCTTCTCCTATTCTTAATTCCATTTTCTCTTTTTCAAAGACAATTTCTGCTCCTAATTGCTCTAATAAATCTCTACCTAAGAGTGCCCATGGGGAGTTAGTTAGGCATATATAAAAATCTGTGTATGCCCCATTGTTTCCCTAACTTGTACTTCAAAGGTTCACAAAAATAAGCCTTTTCAGTTACACCTTTTACCCTAACATAATCATTCTGTAAAGGCATTAATGCTTGATTTAGAACTGAATACGTTGCCCCATATCAATAAGAAATTGCACTTCCATTCCTCCCCTAGCTTCATTCTAACCAGTGGAGGATCCGCTAGGATAGATTCCCCAGGTCCCCGTTATTCCTGTTGAAATCAGGGACCAATGATTACCCTAGAAAAAGGCTAGTCAATTTGTCCTCCGAAGCCAGGTCCAAACCGTTTTGTTTATTTATTTATTTATTTTCATTACATTTCAGAGCTGGTCCAAAAATTCCATAGGGGTTTCGTTTAGACCTTGTTGGAAGCATATTCTCAATTCCCAATTCATCCAGATTTTAGTATTTACTTAGCCGTTCGTAATTTTCGGGATGATTAGGGTCTCAGTGGGGTCGGTCAGGGGAATGCAATTGTCCACAGTTCCCTGAGCGGTCCCATCGGTAATCTGAGCTCGCACATGAACTCAGGTTGTTTTAAGAATTAACTGCTTTTCTGTTTCCATAACAACTCTCTCTCGGACCCATTGTGATCCCTTTGCCCCAAAGGGCTAACACCCATGATTTTAAGATCTCTGCCTAGAGCAGAGGCAGAACTATTAACATTCCTACATCCTCTTTCCCTGCTCATTCAACTTCAAACACCTTTAACACTTTCAACAACCCTTTTAACACTTCCTTTATCTTTCTCCAGCCTGTGCTTCTCTAATGCCAACATCAAAGGCTCAGTCAGGGGCCAACTTAATTCCGTACCTTTTCCCACCAAGATGCTGAAACAACATCAGCATACAACATTTCATCCTGTTCTCCTTCTCAAAACCAACATTAACTGTAGCAAAACATTAGAGTTGAAAGTTCCACTTAGGGGCCACTTTTCTCCACATTCCAGCTTATAAAGCGGCCACCATTGATTACAATATTTTATCAATGTTTTCCTGTTCCCACTTCCACCGGCAGATCCTCCAATATCCTTCCAGTGACTCAAAACACATCCTAACGCACTTTTCTTTAAAATTTCACTGCTTGTTTGCCCCCCCATTTTCCAGTTCACACTTTCAGAATACACGCATCACTTACAAAAATGTGGGCACGCAGGTATCTTTCAAGAGCGATGTCACGAAACTATTACTATTACCAGGAATATTGCCAAAATCACAATAACAATAATCAGAGTCAAATTCCACATGCAGTAAGTCAGAAAACTGAAATATGTAACACCGTAATGATATCTTTCTTATAACAACGCCACGAACCTCCTATTATCACCAAGAATATAGCCAAAATCACAGTAACAATAACCAGAGTTAAATACCACACTCCAGGAGTCAGAAAACCGAAATAGGCAACACAATTCCAGATGGACCTTAAAGCGAGCTCCTTCCTTAAGGTCCCCAAACATATACTTGTGGTGCTAACCACAAAGTATATACCAAACACTGCCTCGCAGAAGATCACCTGCTGACTTACAGACAGTTCCAGACGACCGGTCTGCCAGAAAACCAAACCAGAATAAAGAATATACTCACTCACAATGATGGGGTCCTTGTGTGCCTCCGCAGTGATCCGCTGAGTCGAGGAGTCCCTCCGGGAAATCCCGGGGGTACCCGAGGGAGTCCTGTCCCCAGCGGGTCCTGCGGTCCGGCAGAGAGGTAGTCCCATCTGGGGTGCCAGATTGATTCAAGGATCGAAGCCGAAATTCCTTGAAGTGGTATATTCTTTATTGCAGCGCTGGATGCACGGGGGATCTCTCCACCTATCGTGCATACCCAAAGCGGAAAGCAGTCTTGAATTTCTACAATCAAGCTCTCAATATTCTACAAGCGCCTATACATATTCATTACCTATCCCCGCCTCCCCTCGCTTCTCATGCTAACTAGCCTTTTGGCACCTTTTGCCTGCGTAGAGCCTCCCAAGAATTGTGGGCAGGGGTCTTTGGGACGTGGGCAGGGGTCTTTGGGAGGAAGACCCCGAGTCTTCCTCACAGTGTACTTTTCACCTTAGGTCAGGAATCTGCTGAGCTGGCATGTTTCTTAATTGCAAGCGCTGGTTGTTGCTAATTCTTCCAGTTGTTGTATCTTTATAATGAATTCCAATGTCCAGTTTTGAGATTTATAGTCCTTCCATTTGTTTCTCTGTCCGTCTGCCGCTTCCTTATCATGAGTTCCAGTGTCTTGTTTCGAGATATACAGTCCTTGTCTGGGGATTGTCCTTGCCTCCCCAATGCCTCCCCAATGCCTCCTTAATCAAAAAACCAAAATCAGGAGGAGGAGAGCTCAGAGACTGCGCCCAGCTGCCCTCGCTTTCCCTTCACCCCAAGCCCTGTTCTACCATCAGCCTTCGCCTCTTCTGCCTGCGGTGCTGGGCTTTCGCGTGCGCCATTGCTCCTGTACATAATTTACATATTTTATCCTTTTTTTTAATATATATTTGTTATCTATTTAATGCCCCCCCCTCCAATAAACCTGCGACCATAGAGACGCGGCCCCCCCCAGCGGTCCTCCAGCATCCCAGCGCCCCTTGCGCGCGCTCCCGCCCGCCCTCAGCGGCTTCCGGCGGTGGCGGCGGAGCGGGTGCGGCGAGGCGGCGGCAGCCATGGGGTACCGCGGGCAGGGCCAGAAGGTGCAGAAGGTGATGGTGCAGCCCATCGTATCCTTCCTGCGGCTGGCGGGTGGCGGGGAGGTGGGTGGGGGGCGGCTCGGACCTCAGGGGGCTCGGATCTGGGGCCCTGGGGGCTCGTCCCGGGCCTTGAGGCCTTGTCCCGGGGCCCTGAGGCCTCGTTGTGGGGTTTGGGGCCTTGTCCCGAGCCCGGAACTGTCGTCCCCGTGCTGAGCCCTTAACGCAGCGCCCCAGAACCTCATCTTCCGCTACCTGCAGAACGTGAGTACCGCGGGGAGGGGGCGGGGATGGGGATTTGGGGGGTGTGGGGGGAGTGGGGAGGGTCTGGGGATTCCCCTCGGTGAGTTCGGCTCCTGGCCGTGTCCCGGGACGGGTTTGTGGGGGATGGAGAGCTGTGCGGCATGCTGGTGGGCACGAGGAGCCCGGCGTTTCCCCCTCGTGTAGCCGGGCGTGCAGGGGTGTTCCCTTGTGACTGGAAACGTGTTCTTCACCAAACGTGTAGCATTCACCCGATGGTATAACGCTCAAACGTCGGATTGCTCATTGAAACTGCCCCTGAGAGTTGCTCCTTGGAGCGTTTGGGAGCTGTCGTGGCTGTGGCTAGCAGGTATTTCTGAACACATGAGAGAACAAAACTGCTCAGTGTTTGTGGCCCGACTTACTCTCCTCCTTGGTTCTGCAGAGGTCGAGGATCCAGGTGTGGCTCTATGAGCAGGTGAACATGCGGATAGAAGGCTGCATCATGGTGAGTATCCGCACGTCCCCACGTTACATCTTTCGTTTTCCCTCATTCACAATCCTGTTTTTTGGTCAAGAAAAGTTATCACAAGGAAAAAAAGAATTGTACTTCTCTAATAAGTAGTCTTCGTTGTCCGGCCAGGATCGGTAAAAATCCCTGCTTGCCGGTAACTAGAGCCCTTCATAGAGCAGCGGGGGGCGGGGGAAAGGCCTCCTGCCCGGCCCGGCTCCCCTCCGCTGCCCTGAGGGGGAGCAGGCCTCGTGTCCAGGCCCTGCGGGTCGGGTCAGGGTGCCCTGAGGGGAGGGGAAGGGGGGGGGTGCAGGCCGCAGGGCCTGGAGGCAGGGCTGGGGGCTGGGGTGTTCCCCCCCCTCTCCCCCCCCCTCTCCCCCCGTATCAGCCCCTTCTGGGCCCTGTGAGGCAGGAGCTGCTGCCCGGGGTTAGGCCCAAGGTCCCCTGTCAGGCCCGGGGCCGCCCTTCCCCTCGCCCTGCCCTTCCCTCCCGCTCCTGAGCCCTTCCTCAGGCCTTGCTGGGCCCTCTGTCCGGCTGTCTGTCCATCCATCCAACCCTCTGGCCATCTGTCCCACCACCCTGCCCTCTCCCTAAGGAAGCAAAGAGTCCCCGGGCTGTCTTCATGGGGAGGGGGGAGAGGGGAGGTTCTGCTGAGAAAAAAATGAAAGATTTCCCCCTTAACGGGCGCCTTGCGAGTTATTTCGAGTTCCAACCTTCTGCCTTCCTTCCGTAGCAGTGCCTCTAAGGGGGGCGCTGTAAGGCAGCCCTCATCTGGCGCGTTGCTCCTCCGTTCCCCCAAGGAACTGCCTTCAGGATCTGACTAACTCTGGATGCACCCGGTTGTCGACTTAATTTCTCCTTTAGCTTGCTGAAAAGAACCCGGTTGGGTGACCTTTTGCGTTTCTCGCTTAAAATTTGGATCAAGGAGGTCTGGGTTTCCTTCCGCTGATGTCCACGCTGAAGGTGCAGAAGGGTTCCGTGCTGTTGCTTGGGTCAGCCTTGTTGCCAGGTTGGGAATGTTTAGCCTCCCGGTGCTTCGGTGCTGTTGGGCTGCACTCAGAGTGTGAGCTCTGGGCGTTATTTCTCAACTACTGCGTTATTGGAGCGTACGGAGCCGAGATATTCTGCGGATAGGTGATTTAAGCCACGTCAGAACCACCGCTGTGGCGTGTGCCAGCGTCGGACGCCCATTCGACTGCTCGGGCGGAGCAGGTGAATTGAATTTGGTGCTGGGTGGCGAGGTGGTGTTGGGGGAAGAGCTAGGCTAAGGAGAGCTTCCTCTTGCTCTGCCCCTTCTCAAATGGCATCTCAAAATCTCAAATGGCCGCTTCCTGGGGAGATGGGTTCGTTGGGAGGCTAACTACAACGTTACAGTGAGGATGAGGAATCCTCTTTAGTCCCGTAGGTATTTGCTGCCAGGCTGCAGCGTTGATTTCAGAAATTGTATTTAAAAAAGGAAAAAGAAAGGAAATCCGTATTCTTTAACATACTCTCTTTTCTCGGAGAGTAGATGTAGGAGCTTCAGCAGTGCCCTTCCTCCCGAAAGGCTTCCCAGTGTCTGCTCAGACACTGAGGAGGAAAATAGAGGAGAGCCACCCGATATAAATAAAGGCAAGAAGGGGTTATGGATTAAGGGAAAACCACTACTTCAAAAATTGGTGCTCTCTACAAACCGGTTAAGGGTTTGGGACCTGCAGGTGCTGCCTCCACCTGTGTGCGTTGCAGTCGTGCCTGTTGCCACTGAGCAAAACGGGGAGAGCTGCTTTGTCGAACGCGGCGTGTTAAAGCACGTGCCACTGCCTGGAAGAAAAGCACGGACTTCCCTCGTGTGGGACTTCTTCCCTAGCCATGTGTGGTTTACCTGATGGTTTCCCATAAGCTGTGAATGTTTAAAAGAAAAAAACCAACAAAACCCAAGACCAACGTTGAGAGTGGTGAGGCAGATCCTCACCTGGGGACTCAGAATCAGCGGTGACATCACCATGCGAAGCATTGTGTGTGCTTCGGGTCGGGGCTGCTGCGAGCCTCGCAGCGGGGAGGGAGAGCGGATGCGGGGTGCCTCTGTGTCAGCCCTCTGCCCTGGTGGCTTCGTGAGCACTGAGAGTTTGACTCCTGTGTTGCCAGCTTTCGCTTCCGCACCTGCGGTGTGGCAGAGCCAGCGAGCTGCCTCCTCAGCTGGAGGAGGAAGAGGAGTGACCTCAACGTTGCCGAGGTAAAGCACAATTCTTGAAAAGATTTGGCAAAGATGTGGGTTGGAGCAGCGCGGCTGCTGCAGCAGATCCTGGAGCATTGGAGAAGACAGAGAGGGGTTTCTTGGTGAAAAGAATGCTGTTAAAAGTGTTTTCATGCCAGAAATTAGGATAAAGGCCTCTGTTGTTTGACATCCTCTATTGACCTGGCACATTGGCATTACAGCGTACCTGGCACGCTGTTTGTATTAAAAAAACAGGTATTTTAGTCAGGGCAGGCCAGAAACCTGCCTTGGCACTTGCACATGGCAGCAATGCTTACAGACCCTGCATCCTGGCTGCCAGGCCAGGATCTAAATCCGACGGTGCTGTTGGTAAACTGAAGCTCAGGAAGCGCTTCTGGGTTTTTCTGTACTTCCATGTGAATTTTGACCCTGTGAAGATGGTGTCTTAAGCTATTTTCGGAACAACAAATAGGTTGAAAAGCAGTTTCAGTTTAACATCTGCATGCTTGGGTGTTATTAACAGAGCTTTGTATTCTGAGCTGGTGCTTGGTAGGAGAAAAAACATAAACCTTACCTGGGAAACTTGGACCCCCTCAGCTACATGCTGCTATGAGGAAACTCAGATGTAAGAACACACTTAAATAACACATCAGCAGAGCTGTTGTGCTCCTGACCACCAAAGGCACCTTTTTCCAACACCGTCGTACTGGAAGTTGATGCAGCTGGTTCCATCCGTAACGTGGGACTGTAGAGTGCTGTAACAGAAATATTTTTTCACAGCTTTGGAGAAAGTGAAGCAGAGAAAACCACACATAACCACTGATAGCTGGACCCCAAACTGCCACAGACTGACAGTGATGCCCACTGGATATCTCCTGAGACCCTGCTGCCTTCTGCCTGCTCCAGCAGAAGTCCCGTTTGAATTAGCCAGCAGGTCCCTCTGAGTGGCTTTGCTAAAACTCCCGCCGTAGGAAGTATCCTACGGGAGCCAAGTTGCTAAACTGATGGGTGGGTTTCCCTTAACCCCCTCACCCCTGACTTTCCAGCTCCTGACGACACTGCCAACGTGTGCAGTGTCACCGTGTGCCAACTAGGTGCCAGCTGCCATGGTTTGTATATTGTAAAAGGAGTGATTTGGGACTCGTGAGCACTGAGAACAGGTTAGCAATTGCTTAAGAGCTTTACTTGTGTCGCTCTGGGGCAGGGAGATGGGTGAAACATCTTAGGCTTGAAAGTGATTCCCTGCAGAGTGACGTGCTCAGATCTGCACAACAGATCTGTCGTTCTGGTCACCTTATTAGATCCCTGCTTGAGAGGGTGCTTGCAAGAATCGATTCCTCTTCACCTTGATGTGTCAAGCTAAAGAGAAATCCGTGCCGAAGCACTGTCTGATCAGACGCGTGCCTCGGTTCAGGATTGTTCTTTGACAGCTGCAGAAACACCAGGACAGTCGGCGCCTTCAGGAACAGATTAATTTGATCTTGAGGCTGTCATAAAACAGGTCCCTGAAGTTTGAAGACTCTTCCAATAGTTTGGGCCAGCAAGGAGCAGCTGTAGCTGGCGGCTGCGGTAACTCGGGGCTCAGAGTCTCAGAGAGCGTGGTGAAAGGTGACCCCCAGCTGGCTGCTGGAGGAAGCTGAGGCAGCGTTCAGCTCTAACCTTTGCCTTCTTGGCTGGCATCTTTGCACTCCTGCTGTCAGTGGGTGTTGAGTGTCCTTCCCCCCAGCCTCAGAACGTGCCCGCAGATGTAGGCTTGCTGAGTGCACCAGAGTTACTCATTTTTATTCAGGATTTCAGGGGCAACTTCAGTTGGTTTAGCGCCTGGATTGCCGTGTTAGCAGATGTCAGTTTAAAAAAAAAAAAAAGCTTTTGAGGTCCTTTTTAAAATGAGACTTCTTTTTTGGAATTTAGGGCTGCGAGGTATCCTTGGTTTTGCTTTCTTCCCATTCCTTAGACCAGATCCATTCAGATTCTGAACAGCGTTCCCGGTCTGTTCAGGAAAATGGAAGGCAACAAGCAAAATGATGAGCTCCTTGGGCAGTCAAAAGAGCTAAATCTGGAGAGTGTTTTGAGTCAAACTTCCATGCTAAGGAGCACCAGTAATTGTTAGAAGTAGATGCAGAGGAACCTGCATGGCACTGGGTGTGTTTCTGAAGGTGCTAAAGGTCCGAAGTGACGATTCCTGTCAATACTAAAGAAGAGAAGGAAACCTTGCACTTAACTGCTGTTTTTATTCCCTTTGTCCAGCAGTCAAAAGCAGTAACTAATATGAGAACCCAACTTTTCCTCTCTTTATTTTAGATTTGGGAAAATTCCCTGCCAAAAAAATATTTCCTGGAAAATTCACTAGTGTTTGTGTGAGTAAAAGGTTCCAACCTTTTATTATTAATTTGTAAGAACTATTTCATCCACTTCTGTCCAGAAGAGTCAGAAATAATTTGCACAGAAATGTGCAGCGTTTTAATGAAAGGATTCAGAATCACTCTAGTTTGAACTTTATCTGGTCTGGTTGCAGGTTTTGTGACATTTAGTGTCTTTAAAAAAAAAAAATAATCAAAATAATCAAAATTTCTCACTTCATATCAGAAAAAAGAAAAAAAAAATGCTTGTGGCTAAATAAAATCTGTTGCAGCTCTGCTCATCGAAAAATCATTGGCTGTTAAATTGGACCTAAGTCGTCTTCTCTAACCTTTCATGATCCTGCAGCAATGGATGATGATGGATATATGGATTAGGGAACAGCACATGATGGCAAACCTGTGGTATTTGCTACAGCGCAGAAAGAAAAACCAAATTGCTTCCAAAAAATCCAACTAATTCAAAATCCTTGGTATCATGCAGCCATGCCACTGGCAAAGTGAGCATTCCCCTGCCTCTCAAAGCTTGCTATACCCTTGATCTGCTGTCTTCCTGCTGTTAATTGATTGCAACTCTACGTGTCTGATCAGGGCTACGAGTTGTTCTCGATATGGAGATCATGCAACATATACTGTGCACACTTGTGTGTATAGATATGTTTATCCTGTACGCATGTACATACGTATGCATATTTGTGTGCTGGCCCCCAGATCACTCATGTTACAAAGCATCGGCCTCGAAGGCATACTCATCAAAATCTTTTGTAGAGCCTCCATTTTTTTCTAGTTCCCTCAAAATGAGAGAATTTTTTCGCGCTCTGTGTCGAAAAGGCAAAAATTCTGATTTTCACTGTCGCTCTCGCTAACTTTCTCTCACTCCTTCCTCATGTGTGTATAAACACAGATGTGTGTATGTGTATGCACATCTGTGGATTTATATGCACTGATATGTTTTTTGCTGTACAGGTAATAAAGACGGGGAAAGGTTTTTGTGTTTTCTTAATAGGTGAAGAAATCTTGAAGACCAGAGATTGGAGCATACTGAATTTTAAATAATAAAAAAAAAAAAAAAGTTAAATTGTCTGGCTGTGGAAGATGGAGCCTCATTTTTGCAGCCACTTTGAATCACAAGTTCATCTCTAAATGCGCTGGGTTTTTTGGTTTTGTTTTGTTTTTTGGTTTTTATTTTTTTGAAGAGCTAAGTAACCCTGTCTGTCTCCAGTCTGAGAGAGCGTTCAAATGGACTTGCTTCCTTCAGTAGTTATAAACTGTTTAAAAGCGCATCCTATGTTTGAATTGTGGATGAGAGGTTCCCTTGGCAAAGAGAGGAGGAAAATTCTTCCTACCCTTTTATTATTAATTTAGTCTTGGTTCGGCCTACAGGAGAAGTTAACTGGAAGTCTTTGAAGATCGATAACTTTGCTGAGGTTGTCCAGGTAGGTGAAATCGAGGACCCACAGTGCCTGGAACGTGCTGTTTAATGCGTCCTGTGTTCTAGAGAAGTTATTTGTAGCCATAGTTGATTATTGACTTGCATGTATCATCAGGTGGTTTTTTAAGAAGTGACTCCGCTTTGGGGCTTCCAGATGTGCTCCAAGTCATATTATTGAGGATGTGGAAGAGAACGGTTGCTGACAAAGCTCCTGGCAGCTTTACAGAACTTTAATATTTAGTTAGTTCATGTAACAGCTGATTTCAAGGCTTTGCTCTCCTTGAGAGACTAATTTGATTAACTGAAGAAAGCTGGAAAACTGTTTGTTCCTCATTATTTTTCACTTGTTACTTTCTTTAGGGTTACTTTTAAAAAGAAGATTTCACTGATCACAAGCCAGTAGAAGACTTTCAGCCCAAGCAAGGGTGAAGACAGCTCTCTCCAAGAGCAGAGGAAGTCCCTGTGGAGAGAAGCCGAGCTTGTTAGCAGAACTCGTCGGCATGTCTAAACAAGGAGACAATTGCTACTTCTATTTCTATTCTACCTGTACCAAGGTATGGCTGGCTTTCCTTTGCTTTGCTTTGTTTCCCCATTTTTTTCAGGAAGGAGTAGATTAGGAGGAGGAAGCACACTGGTCTGTGGTTAACTTGAGAACCAGATAGATTCTGAATTCAGTTGTCATTTGCTTGGAACATTAGGAACAAGGGAACATTACAAATAAACAAAACCAAAATCACTTAAAACCTACTTGAACAGGTCCTGCTCAGGAGTACTTAGATTTGATGGATCCCAAATTTTCACTTCACTGAGCTGCTCAGAGAAGGTCATACAGAAAGTCGCTGGAAATAGGCACACCGGAGCTGGAAAGAAGCTCAAGCTGAGAGAAGCGGACCTGCGCACACAACTGCCCCTCCCTGGTAAGCAGTTGCATATTATGGGGAATCATAGATCCTTAGAAACGACGACTGTCCTGGTAACCTTACAGCTTATTCTCTTTATTAACAATCAGACAGTTTATGATCCTGAAATATGGGACCAAATTGATGTCAAGTTGTGGGACCCTGCCACGAAAAGCGATAAGGTGGCAGTGGGATTGCTCGGCACCTGGCGAGCAGTCTCTGAGGTCTTAAAGAGCCCTGTGGGACCACAGTCAGACACGTGTGGCTTGCCAGACAGTGAGGGAGCTGCGGGCTCCTTTACTGATCTGACTGCTACGCCATCGGCCCCTCCACCGCTACAGCCATCGCAGGCCTTTGCTGTTACGCCCCCTGCTGACTTGGACGTGCCTTTTGACCCAGGCCTATTGGCCTTGAAAAGGAGATGGATCTGCTTTTCTTTGATCTGGGAAGAATGGGATACATAAGGCCCAAAGGCCGAGTTGCTTGACAACTTAAAGCAAGACATATTGTTCAAAAGGAATGGAAAATGGAGACTTGTTTGTAATCAAGAAAAGGAGTGGAAAATGGAGACTGTTAAGCCATGGAACTTAAAGGATTGTTTGTTACCTTTTCTGATTGTACATATGTATAGGTGTACTTGGGTATAGTATGTAAAAGCAATTTTCTGTATATTTAGAATGTTTGATGTTCGTGTGTGCGTGTTGGTAGAGGATAGACTCCCCGCACACCCAGTGCTGTTTACTTGCCTTTTATAAATATTACTAAATTCAGATTGAGTTGAGACTTCATTTATAATACAGGGATGAGGGCAGCTGTTCTTCTGCTCACACAAAATGCACTTTTCATACCGGTGTGCTTACAGCAGGGCTGCTTCAGTTGCTTTTGCTTTCTGCTACATTTCTATGCCAACTCTTTTGGTGAATCCACAATGCACTTCTGCCTCAGAGCAGACCAGAACGTCTCCAAGAATTTTCCATCAAAATCGCTGTCACGCTTTCAGAGCCACATGCATTCCTCAGCCATTTTCTGCCCTCTTGTGAAGGTCTGCAGAAATCCAGGGCTACAGCAGCACTTGCAGCTCTTGCAAACCCATGCTCCCATGCTAGCTTGTTTCCAGGGCAGAGAGCTGAAGAGGCTGTGTCAGTTGCTAACTCACATCACTAGAGATTTCCTGAGCATGAATGAAGGGTTTCAAGGACCACTACCTCTCCTAAACAAACAGCCTGGATACCAGTTCTACAACAGCCTGCACTGTGCTCAACTCTATTTTATTCCATAATTGATCACTTTTTAAAGCCCTGAGCCAGGAGATTCATTCCCCTTTGCACAGCTGGTCTTGTCTGGCACAAAGTTCTCACTCTCTCCATCCAGCCTAGCCCAGGGCTTCCCTGATACCCTGTGGGAGGAAAGGCTGATCCATCTATTGGCTATAAAGAGCCCAAATGTAGCCATGTGCTCTTCCTACCAACAGCTCCCCAGGCTCACTGGCCAGCACATTTCAGGGTTCATCCCTCCCACCTCTTTTCATGACCTTATTTTGTGTACTGCCTCCACAAGACTCTGGGATTTGGTGGTTTAACCCCAGGTTTAACCTGAAGAAGTGGTCAGGAAAGAACAGGGGTGTAGTAAGTAACCTGGTCTCTGCATGTTCCTGCTTACTGAAGATAAAACACTTTGTCCAGAAGGAGCAGGAAACTTTGGCTCTAATACACATTTTGTGCTAGGGTGGGCCATACCAGCATGGCCCAAATTTCCATTTCAATCCCGTATCTCTCACCTTGGCTTAGTGTAGGAACAAAAGGGATGTGACTCATCCAGGAACCAGACAAACCATGGAGAGAAAGGGAGGTCTACTGCCCTGCTGCACACACCCCCTTCCATCCACTGGAAACCTCGCTGCCCCATCTGATCTACAAGTGATTTTATTTTTCAAAGAAAATGCTTTCTTGTACCAACCCTCTGTAAATCTGTATCTGCAACTCCTCCTGCACCACCTCTGCTTTACAACAGAGGAAACTGAGCCACAGAAAGGGCTGTGACTAGAAAAAAAAAACAATCCCCATTAGAGACTACTGCATTCATCCATATGCACCAACTACAAAAGCCACCCTGAAGCAAACTCCACACAGCAATTGGTATTCTCCTTCCCAAATGTGTCAGTGACAGATGCCAACAGCTCCCCAGGGCCCCCTTCATCTTCCCTGATACATTTAATGCTCTCATAGCTTGTTACCAGTCCCATCAATTACTCAGCTTTGGCATGATGATGCAATATGAGACACAACCCAACCCATGGCTTTTAAATGCCACAGACATAAGGAGAATAAACTATTTGGTCTTCTCCAGTTATTTGTCACAGCCATAGCAATACTGTTGCTTCAAATTAAAGGTTTTATTCTGGACTGCATGATCATTTGCAATGACAATGACAATACCAGGCAAAAGACTTTTTCCTTCCAAGAGCCAATTTTATCACTTTTTTTTTTTTTTTTTTTTAATCAGAGCCTTAGGCTCTGAACCACAGGTGCTGCCAAAGAGCTGCTTGTATTGACACCGGCACCATCCCAAAAGATGACAATCAGCATGATTCAGTGTAACCAGAGCCATGAGCCAGATGGCATGGCCACCCCACTCCACTCCCCAATGAACACTCATCACCTCACTGCCCAGGCAGCTCTGACAAGCAAGGCAATAGGAAGGTCAAACCATCTGCTTGTTCAGAGCTCAGTGCCATATTTTAGTGTGAAACATTTCGAGACTGGAAAGCAGATCTTAGACTTCCTCATTATATAATTGCTTTAGTCTTGCTTCTACCCAAATTTTCGTGAGTTTACAATCATTTTGAGTGATAAAGCTGAACAGCCAAAACAGGAAGAGGAAAGCACACAACACTCATGAGAAGCATCAGGGCAGTTGTCCTTCCTGGGCTGACACTTCCTTGGTAGAACATTATGCTACATGACAAAGCCAGAACTGACTGTACGCCTGGCACAAGAAAAGTACCTGTTTCTCATTATTTAAGTTTCTGAAACCTCTATTGCTAAAATATTTTGAATTCTTCCTACTGTTGCCATCCCCTCCCAATGCAAAGCAGCTGGCATCTTTTCTTACAAGCAACTGTATTTTATAAGAGTGCAATTACTGCCAAATGTTTGGAGAACCCTGAGACACATGGGCCCATCTACTCATGTTTATTAATCCTCCTGCAAAGCAGGCTTCTTTTTGAAGCCTAGCTCTCCCACAGACCTAAGGCTCAATTTGAGCACTTGACCTGATCCCATGGCTGACACTGCTTAGAGGAGCACAACTAGACATGACCTTCCAAGCTCTCCCTCATTCTGAGCTTTCCTGCTACCTAGGAAGATTGTCATGGCTGAACAGGGAACATCTGCTGAGTCTCTGGGAGGAAAAAAAGTTTATGTCTGGGGAAGAAGGGACAGGCATCTCAAGGAGAGAACAAGGAATTTACTGGCATATGCAGGGAAAAATTCCGAAAGGCTAACGCCTAGCAGGAGCTCAACCTGGCCACTGTGGTAAAAGACAAAAAAAAATATATATGTTTTTGTAAATCTATTAACAGTAAGAGGAGGACTAATCCTTTCCTGGTTGTGGTGGTGAACATGACTACTGAGGATAAGGAAAAGGCTGAGATTCTCTATGCCTTCTTTACATCTGTCTTTAATAGTCAGACCAGTTATCCTTGGGGTACTCAGCCTCCTGACCTGAAAGTCTGGGATGGGGAGCAGAATAAACCTACCACAAATCAGGTGGATACAGTTAGAGACCTGCTGCTCCACCTAGACTGTCACAAGTCTGTGGGGCCAGAGGGGGTCCGCCCAAGGGTGCTGAGGGAGCTGGCAGATATGATTGCTGAGATGCTTTCCATCATCTATCAGCAGTCATGGTAAATTGGAGAGATCCCAGAGGACTGGAGACTTACTATTGTGATGCCCATCTATAAGAAGGGTCATAAGGAGAAGCTGAGGAACAACAGGCCTGTCAGCCTGACTTTGGTGTGAGGAAAGGTGATGGAACGGGTCAGTTTGAATGCAGCATATGTGGGACAACCAGGGGATCAGGCCTAGTCAGTATCAGTTCATGAAAGGCAAATTTTGCCTGACCAACCACATCTGCTATGACGAAGTAACCTGCCTGGTGGATGAGGCTGTTGACATAGTCTACCTATGCTTCAGCAAGGCCTTTGACACAGTTTCCCACAGCATTCTCCTGGAGAAGCTGGCAGCCCACAGCTTGGACAGGTACACTCTTTGCTGGGTTAAAAATTGGCTGGATGGCTGGTCCCAGAGAGTGGTGGTGAATGGAGTGAAATCCAGCTGGCAGCTGGTCACAAGTAGTGCTCCCCAGGGGTCTGTTTTGGGGCCCATCCTCTTTAATATTTTTATTGATGATTTGGATAAGGAATTGAGTGCGCCTTAACTAAGTTTGCAAATGACACAAAGCTGGGGGGAAGTGTCAATCTGCTGCAGGGTAGGAAGGCCCTGACTCAGCCAGACCCTTTATCAGGAATAGTGCAGCCAGCAGGACCAGGGAGGTAATAGTCCCTCAGTACTCAGCTCTGGTGAGGCTGCACCTCAAGTTCTGTGTTCAGCTTTGGGCCCCTCACTACAAGAAGCACATCAAGGCCCTGGAGTGTGTCCAGAGAATAGCTACGAGGCTGGCAAAGGGTCTGGGACACAAGCCCTGTGAGGAGCGGCTGAGGGAACTGGGGTTGCTTAGTCTGGAGAAAAGGAGGCTCAGGGAAGACCTCATTGCTCTCTGCAGCTCCCTGAAAGGAAGGTGTAGGGAGCTGGGAGTCGGCCTCTTCTTGCAGACAGCCAGTGATAGGACCAGAGGGAATGGCCTCAAGTTGTGCCAGGGGAGGTTCAGGTGGGAAATGAAGAGCCATTTCTGCTCAGACAGAGTAGTCAGGTGTTGGGATGGGTTGCCCAGGGAAGTCGTGGTGTCACCATCCCTGGGGGTGCTCAAGGAAAGGCTGGACGTGGTGCTTAGGGACGTGGTTTAGTGGGTGACATTAGTGGGGGAGTGGCTGGACCAGGTGATCTTCGAGGTTTTTTTCCAACCTTAACGATTCTGTGATTAGGTAGGTTTAACCCTCAGAATCGATCTCAGGCCTGCAAATCTGCTTATTTCTTTGCCTTCAAGGAAAGCCGCCACAAAATGCAGAAAGCAACTACGTAAGAAAGCGGCTTTATTCGCTGCCCAGGCCCTGCAAGCCCCTTGGTGCAGCAGGGAGCCCCCGAGCCCTGTTAACAGCCCGAGCCTGCAGCAGGTCCCGTCACTGCCCTCGTTTCCACGGAGACCCGGCGCAGGGCACTGAACGTGTACAAGAGGCCCCGCCCCGCCGGTAGCCCCGCAAGTCGCGTCGCGCCACGACGTTCTTTAGGACACGCCCGAGGGGGTGGGGCCTTCAGCGCGTACTTTTGCCCCTTTCCAACATGGCAGGCACGGGCAAAGTCCGCCGTACGCATGCGCAGCACTGGCCTTTTAAAACATGCGAGGGGGCTCTATCGCCTGACGGCCCCGCTCCGGGCGTGCCTCCGGCGGCGGGGCCAAGCCGCCGCCGTCCCCTGCCGCCCGCTGTGGCGGCCGCGGCCCTGCGGTGCCCCTCGGCTTTGTTCCACTGCGTTGTGTGACGGCGTTCAGATCCTCCCCCAGGGCCTGCAGGTTTCTGCACCTTTGCACTGGCAGTGCTCTGGATGTTTTAATTGGCGAAATCCAACCTCTCGCTGGGCTTTTCTCTTTCCAAAATCCGTCGTATGGCTGCTTGCTTACTGTACTGGTGGCATGGAGCAGGCACATGCGCCAGAGAGGTTGGCTGCCTCCTTGGTGTGACGGGGGGGGGATGATGTAACTTCACCCTCACATCATGCCATATCGATTTCTAAGGTAGCTTGGTATTGTAACAGGATGGCCTGACAGTTCTGGTAAAGCTAGTTCTGGTAGAGTCTCTGCTAGCCTGAAGTGGAGTAGTGTTTGTCCTAATTTCCTTAGACTGCAGGTAGCGATCTGCTACAAATACCATAGCTGTGCACTGTCCTTGAAGTTTTTGGCGAACAGCTGTGAACAGGAAAGCATCTACAGCAAAGAAGACCCTGTATCACCCATGGCAGTGGGCTGTTTTGGCTACGTGCATCATGGCCTTTGCCTGTAGCTGTAGAACATCTGTGAAGTCACTGGTTTTCATCACAACCAGCATAGTTCATCTGTGCCAGCACCCCTGGCTGCTGTAGACAGTGACATCATATGTGCCTGGATGAGGTGCTTGTCACATGAGCAGGGGAAGGTATCTGTAGCTGATACTAAATATAGTATAGGCTGGAGTTTTGTATATGATGTTCCTGTAATAAGAAAAAAAAAAAAAAAGTATGATATGGCACCTTCTGGGAGCTGCCAAAGTCACAGAAATAACTGTGGCTTGTAGTGAATGATTGATCTCCTTTTTTCCTTATAATAAAGATTGTCAGTGAACTCTGGCAAAAATGTTGATCACGTCAACTGAAGTAAAATTATGTTTTTGGAAAGAAGATAAGCAGATGGGAGTGTAGTCTCTGGGGCTGGTGTTGGCCTTTTCTGGTGAATGGGTGGTGTTTCCAGGTCACCACTGCGTGCTGATATAACACCTGAGCTGACTGAGAGGTAGGCAAGGTGTATGGGGTGAGCACAGCGCACACCAGTGAACTGTGAGAAATAGTATTTCCCCTCCATTGGCTGGTCCAGACCATTGTGAGAGCCATGTCATTCTATCAAGTTCCTGTCGAGTATGCTTAGCTAGGGAGGTGCCAAGGAAACTCCTTGATTAATCATTTTTACAGACTGTTTAGAAAAAAAAAAAAAAAAGCCATCCAGAATCCAGAAAGGCTGTCATAAATTGACTTTTGTCAAGATTTATTTGGCTTTTACATGAGAAGGTTTCAACCCAAAATAAAGATATTACCTTGAATTTCTACAGTGATTTCATCCCTACCCCCTTTGCTTTTATCTCCCTTGTATCTGTTGGGAATGTCCAGTTTTCCTGTTCTGGATCCAGGAGCTCCACAAATTTCTTCTGATTATTCACAGAAACAGCAGGGCAATGAGGTTAGGCTTGTTGCATGTGGGAAAGCAGGGCATAGACCACAGGCAAGACTAATGAATCCTTTGGTGTTGGGACAGTCTCGCTAATGTAAATGGGAATCCAAAGCAAGAATTTGTACCTTTTTGTTCCAGGAACCCTGACCAGAGGATACAGCCTAAACCAATTCCTGCTGACCCTGAGAGAGGAAACATGCTCCAAACAGCAAGGATCAGTCTGTCTCTGCTCTGGAGATCTCACAGTAGCTTTGCTTTTCTGGAAAGCCATGTGCCCTCTACAGCTCAACATCTTGCAGTCTAAGTTCTTTTTTTCAAGTGCCTTTTGCATCAGCAGCTTCAGGATTCAAAATGCTCCCAGATCCTCCACAGTGTTTATCCCTTCCAGGGGTCTTCCAACTGTCATGGGGGTTTTTAGATCAGTGATGGCCACTGCTGCAAGTATAGCTTGGTTAGGAAATTTTGGGAGGCGATTTGGCACCGCTTGTCTGAGCTCAGCCCTTCCTAACCTTTGCCTTTTGTCCTGAACATCCTGACCAGCGAAAAGCTTTGTTGTCCAGGATGATCAATTTAAAGTAGCTGGACAATGCTGTCTAAGGAGAGTGAGTATGTGTCATATATTGCCTACAGAAAAAACATTCAGGATATGGCTTTTCTGGTTTTTCTCAGTGGCAGTCAATGTTTCGGGACATCCAATGCTCTCTGTGGGAAGCAATGCACCTACAGCTCACAGCTAGTTAAATCCTGCAAGGTACAGCAGTACAGGCTCATCTGCTGTACATTTAACGTATTTGACAAATCATGTGCTAATGCTTAAAGTCTGACAAACCATACATCCGATTCAAGTGCTTCACTGGCCCTCAGAAATTTACAGAAATTACTTCCTCAAAATCTTCTTCCTGAAATGACTTACACATCAGAAACCATGTATGGGTTAGGAACACCACTGGATTCGCAGAACAGTGCAGCCATAAAGTCACGTTTTCATTACAGAAGATCTGTGAAAGAAACATTTTGCTCTGGCTTAAGTTCTGAAATATGCCACTTTGGGGAGCCAAGATAACATCTTGGCACCCGTCAGCCTGTTCCCTGCTGTGTCCTGACTACAGGTAGGCTGCTGGGTGGGCTTCTAATTAGTTTTAACACCATAGGAAAAAATCCTATTTTGTGTATTGCCACTGTCATTCATGTCATGAATGCACATTTATTTCTTCTCCATTTGTCTACCTGAAGAGGAGCTTCAAACTGGCACACCCTGGATGGCTGCTTTGCTCGATGCCAGGCTTGGCTTTGTCCCCAAAGCTGGGATGAAGAGGCAAAGGAACAAGGTTCCTCTTCTAGGAGCTGTTTCTCACCCCATGCTGAAGACATGGCATGTGCCATGCAGCATGAGGGCATTTGGCCTGGTAAAATACAATGGGTCTAAAACTCAGGAAATCACACAGAGATGTACACAGTCTGCATCCTGTCCTGTTGCCAGGCAAAGAGTGGCCATGAAGTACCTTCTGCAGTTCCACAGCAGGACTTCTCAATCACTATCAGTCATGTAACAGTAATTCTATCTGGGTTGCTGCTATTTATAGGTTACCTGGATTTTGCCTATGTTGACAGCCCCACTGATGAGGTCTAGGTACCTTGCACTCTGACACCCAGGGCTGCGTAAACAGTCTTGAATTTATTTATTTATTTATTTATTTTACTAATTCTTGCTTTTTTCGGAAGCCACCAATGACAGTCTTAGGTTATGAAAGACAAAGAGAGGTGGCAGTACCTGCTATTGATGGAGTAAAAAGGTAAAGACGTGCCTTTCCTCTACTTTTCCATTGTAAATGCTGTTTACTTTGTTCTACAAGACTGGATAAGAAGTTAAAACAAATGGATCTACAAGATTTCTCAATAATGCAGAAATGCGATTGAGTAAAATGTGGTCTGTGTGGCCTGATTTGTGCATTTGGCTTGTGATTTGAGCAATATACTTGTCTAGCTGTGTTTGTAAAGTAGTGTGGTAATATGTCACATTTCTAGCTCTTTATCCATGCTGCTGACTTAGGGGAGAACGGCTTGAACCCAGGTCTGGAAGCAATGGCAATGTTAGTGCTTTTGCAAGGCTGGAGCTATTCCCCCACCCCCCACCCTGTCCTGAAGTTGCATGTCACTTTTTCTTAATCTCAAAAGCTTTCTGCACATGGCTCACCAGTGGATTTCAAACTCCAAATCCCTCTTGTATCTGATAAACAGCACCATCTGAAACTGACTCTTCTCATAGAGGTTACACTAAAGGGTAGACAGACAACTATTTCCCATACGTTTTTTTCTCTTTGCCTAAACATAGAGTATATTTATTCCTGTCATCCTGAAAATTCCAATTTTCCTTCGCTCTTTTCCCTTTGCAGTTCAACACTGGGATCTGCAATGCAAATAAATCTGCAAATAAAAAAATAAAGGTGTGTACAAGGAGCTTAGTGGCTTGGCTGCTGGGTGGAGCTGGGTGGTGACACACACGGCTCTCATGTGGAACTGGAGCTGGATTAACACTGTGCCAATGGTGCTCAGACAGAAGTTTAGGGTTTAGTGCAGACAACAGCCCTGTTAGCTGCTATGCTGACACGAGGGTTGCTTTGCGGTCTCCTTACATAGATCAGGTCTGCACCCAGACACTTAACTAAAAGTGCTACATCAACACATAGCAAAAAGACAACAAACCTCTCCTAGGTGGTTTTGGAAGCTTTTTTTACAAAGACGTTGGATAGATCGTCATGCGTCTTGGGGAGAAACGTCCAAATTTTGTTATTTGTTGGACAGCTGCCACTGCTCTTGCTCAGCTTTCAGTGCTGCTTTTCCACACAGTAGTTTTGCAACATGTCACCAAGCTGCAAGACTAAGAAGGCCTTGGTGGATTATTCCTGGGTGGATAATCAATAGAGCACTGTGTTTGTCAGACTTTTTCACCCTTTTTACTTTTTTATTGACTTATTGCTCTACTGAAACCTCAGTCATTTAGGAGGCAGATTAAGCCAGGACTTGTTACATGTACTCTGAATTTTTAGCATTTGTGAGTAATCTAAAACCCTAAAATTGTGGAACTAGGAAAACAACTTGAATTGTAATTTATTTCATAATCCAATCACCTTCTGCAAGTTCTCTACTCCCTATGACAGGGTTTGCTAACCTGTGACAAAAGGGATGAGACAGTTTTGAGTAGCATCTTGCAAGACACTTGTATACCAGGGAATATTTGTTGCTTCCTACCTACCAGTAGTCTGGAAACTTGGGCCAGGACCCCATGGTACCACTCATGCCATTCACCATTTTAGGGAATCAGCTTTTCCCTCTGGAGGGCTCAGAAATGAGCCTTTGTTGACCTCCAGGCTGCTTCCCTGGAGACATGCGGCCCTCCACACTGCCTGGGGCTTTTACCCAGCAGCTCAATGCACACCTTTCTTAGAAACATATCGCAACACAGTTCATTTATTTTAATGAGTGGCCTTAGGTATTAAAAAACATCATCACGTCACACGGTTCTGCCCACTTTTGTTGTTTCAATAGACACTTCTCTTTGAGATCTCTGTCAAATAGAGAGATAAAAAGACACCAAGAGTGTGGCCAGAAACAGCCAGAAACAGGAGCAGGCTTGGAACAGCCAAGCATTGCCTGGCTTTAGGAGAGACTTGTGAATCTATCCAGTGCAGCTGCTCTCTTGTGACTTGAGCATTTTGTGTCAGAAGAAGTAATGAAGATAAAGAGAAACGAGAGGAGGTCTTTCTCTTTACTGCTGAGAGGCTGCAGTTTCATGCAAGTGTATGAAGCTGGAGTGTTAAAGGCTTTGCAGGAATTGTCACCTGAGATACTGAAATCTGCATCCAAGATCTATGGGGCATCTTCAGGATCGATTTTAGCTGCATTGGTATTGTGCGAGTGCGATATGGGTAAGGGCTATGCACTTCCATTTATTCTCTGTGTAGAGAGATCAAATGTCTAGATATGCTGGAGCTGCAAAAGATCTTTTTTAATTGTTATCCTTAATCAGCAGTTAATTCCTCAGACTTTTACAGTAAATTCCTCAGAATTTTACTTTGTTTACTTCTTTAAGATTGAAAGGCATGGAAAAATTAACCAGCACAGAGAAAATAGGCAAGGTATAGTTATAAAATAAGTCGTTGAGTCTTATTAATTTGAATTAATGATAAGTCTACCTAATATAAGAAATAAAAGTGCTCTGCATAATGTTTGGGGTTTTTGGTAGATTCATAAAACAGAGGGGAAAGAAAATACTGAATATGGAGAGAATCAGTATTACTGTCCCATGAATTAAAAAGAAATTTATAGTCACAGAACTCAGAAATACACTAAGACATAGAGCAAACAAGGTTTTCTTCCATATCTCCAAATTTTATTTTAAGATGGAGGAAATAGAGAGATGGGATTAGAAAACAAAACACTTCTGCTTTTTGCAATGTTGAAGTTATTGGAAAATCTGGGTCCACACATGAGAGCTTCAGCCCTACTGAAGACAGTGTCTCTTTATCAGTATTTAACAGCATGGTGAAATGCCCTTTTTCCAGGTGGAAATATATCTGAGAAAATAAATAACTAATAATTGCTTTGTTTTGGCTTTAGATGAGTTGCAGAAGCTGTTAATCAGTGGTGATATATACTGTGTCAAAGGGCTTTTATCCTCTCGAGGGAAAATCCTTCACGTCCTAAAGGATGTCTTAAATAAATTTCTGCCTGTGAATGCCCACCAGCTGGTATCTGGGAAATTACATGTTATCCTCACCCGCGTACATGACTGGAGAAGCGTGACAGTTTCGGAATTTGCCACAAAGGAGGACCTCATTCAGGTGAGAGCCTCCCAGGTCCCCTAGGGGAGAGGGGAGGCTGAGTGTGATTTATCTTTGCCCTACGGGCATCCACAAGGGAAGCCTGACTCTTTGCTGTGATTTGTCCTCACTGCCCTCTGAAGCTGTGGTGATTTTGCTCAGCTGAGCAGCAGAGCTCCACCACAACTGCTATCTCATTTCCCCTCCTCAAAGAGAAAATGTGAGAAAATACAATGAAAAGGGCTTAAAGACTGAGATAAGGACAGGGAGATGACTCAACAATTATCATTATGGGCAAAACAGACTCGTCATGGGCAGATTAATGTAATTTATTACCTATTGCTAACAAGTTAGAGCAGTGAGAAACTAAAAACACCTTCCCCCTATCCACTCTCTTTTACATGCTTCCTCTGAGCAGCACAGGGGAACAGGGAATGGGAGCTGTAGTCAGTCCCTAGCACTTCGTCTCTGCTGCTCCTTCTTGGTCCCCCTGCTCCACGTGGGGTCCCTCCCAAGGGATGCCATCCTTCCTGAACTGAGCCTGTGGGGGCTGCCTTCAGACAGCAGCTTTTCAAGAACTTCTCCCATATGGGTCCATCCCTCAGGAGAAAACTGCTCCAGCACGGGTCTGCCATAGGTGGCTGCTCCCTCCAGATCACCTGCTCCTGCTTGGGCTCCTCTTCACAGGCTGCAGCGTGGAGATCTGCTCCATGTGGGACCCATGAGTGCAGGGGGACAGCCTGCTCCACCAGGGGCCTCTCCACAGGCCTCAGGGGAACTGCTGCTGTGAGCCTGGAGCACCTCCCGGCCTCCTGCTGCACTCACCTTGGGGGCTGCAGGGCTGCTTCTCACTTCTTGCTCTTCCAGCTTCTGTGGTGCAGCAGTTTTGTTTTGTTTATTTTTTTTCCCTTCCTTAAATCTGCTCTCACAGAGGTGCAAACAACATCACTTACTGGCTTGGCTCTGGCCCATGGCAGGTCTCTTTGAGCTGGCTGGAGCAGGCCCTTATCTAACATGAGGCAACTTCTGGATTCTTCTCACAGAGGCCACCCCTGCAGCCCCCCAGTACCAAAACCTTGCTACATAAACCCAATACAGAAACCAGACAGGGTGGCAAGCTGAAAACCATCAAAAATGATCCTTTTTGATTCCTGGCTGAATTATCTAAAGGCCTGCATACATGGGGAGCATAATAAGGTGTTTCGCAGGTTACCTTCCTCCTTCTCTGCCCCTGGCTGTGGATACCCTCTGTGGTCTGGTTTGCAACAGTCAGTGGTACCCAGTGACCAAGCAATGGGTCTCATTTCAGTATCCACAGATGAGCCACTGTCTCCAAAGGCAAGACATTTTCATGACTCTTTGCCCACCAATGTACTTCTTTTCTCTCCCGTAGGCCCTGTTATGCAGCTGCTTCGTCCCTTTGTGTTTTGGCTTTCTCCCTCCTCTGTACCATGGGGTGGTGAGTACTCCTGTGGTCCTGAGATCATGTCCTGGGTCAGGCCAAGGGCCCATCTCACCTGTGTCCTTCTTCCATTGGTGGCATTAGGTGCATTTGTACCCCAGTGTTTGCCACCAAAGTTGCTTAGTGCTGTGCACACAGCATCTGCAGAGGGAAGAGCTAAACCTAGGTGCCCCACTGCCTGACTACGCTGCAGACCCAAGTGACCTCCTCACAAAAGCAGCTACCCTTAGTCCTTGGGGTTTGTGGTGTCTTTCTGCTACATTCTCCCAATAATCTGTTAAAGAATAAATGTTCTACAGGGAGACAGGATGTGGTAGTTGTAGACCTGGAGCACGTGAAAAGGACAGTGCTCCCTGGGAGACCTCCACAGCCCCCATCCCTCAGGCCTATTTGTGACTGGGTGGGGAAGAAGTGCCATATGCATGTATGTGACACAGCTCTCCCTTCTCGGAGAAGGTGGCTCAGGGTTCCTTCTTTTCTCTCCTAGCGTTACGTTGATGGGGAACTTGGCATGTGGAAGGCCAACTTCACATCCCAGACCATGATCACCGTGTCTGCTTTTGCTGGCGAATATGACATCTGTCCCAAAGATTGCCCAGCTGCCTTCTTCAATTTCCAAATCTCTGATTGTATTTTTCAGATATCAAAAAAAAATATCTACCGTTTCCTGTGTATTTTGCAGTGCCCTACAAAGCAAGTGAGCTACTTCTACAGGTACCCAGAGCCATGAGGCCCCTATAGCTAGCTCATCTGTCCTGACTGCTACCTCCCCCCTGCAGGTTTGTGACCAGTTTTATGCCGATGGCTACCGGGACACTGTCACCTTCTTAAAAAACCTGAGTAAGTGGTTGGGAATGAGGAGCAGGTAGGTCAGGTGATTCTCTTACAGCGATGGTTTTCCGACAGAGGGTAAGGGATATGCTGCTGGCACATATAAAGCGACTGGAGGAGAGACTCCAGCATCTCTGACATTGACAGGATTACTTGAGTCCCATCCTTCTTGTGTCCAGTGCTGAAGCTCCCTGTTTACTCCTTCTCCTCTGAAGGTGTTAGGTCACCTCTCTTCTTATGCCATGCTGGGAATGGTAGAGTTTTCCAGGGAACAGAGGTCCTGATGACCTAGACATGAGGAACATGGGCTCTGGTGCTTTGTGTGAGACTTATCATCCACTGATGCACAAAGCAAACAAAATTGTTTGGTGGTCCCTGACCCAGAAACCCAACTCAGATTAACTATGCACTGTGGTCATCAGTCCTCTTGTTTTCCAGTTGCCTGTGGTCATGCCTCGCATTGCTGGAGTTGACCCATAACCTGTGAGAACTGTCTTCTCTTCCTCCAGGTTTATTTGGTATAAATTATCTTGCTGAGGACTTTAAACAATTGGACAAGGAATTGTGTCAGAAAGGTGAAGGGACCCTGCACAGGAAGCCAGAAGCAAGAATACTTCACTCCAGGGCCACAGACCCTGAGGACATCACCAAAGAGAAGATACTAAGCATTCAGACAGCACAAGAAATAGATGGAGAAGACCCAAACCACCCTTTGCAACCATCAGAAAGGTAGAGGACCAACCCCTTTTTTATCCCATCAATTTTCATTATGTGACACTTGCCCCAGTCTAGAATGTTATTTGGGTTTTTACAGGCTCAACGAGGTGAAAACATCTGGAAAGGGAGAGATTCCCCTCAGTGGGTATTAGTGAAGCCTTGTGCTGAGCTTGTTTTGGATGAAGTTTGAGAGCAGGTACATGTTTCCTCTGCTTCTCCCTAGCAGACTTCTGATAAATAGCACCTGAACTTCCAGCTGCCCACATTATCATTTCCCCCACAGATGAAGTACAGATCTTAGTCCGTGGCTATCTCAGAAAGGCCCTTTGGAGGAGTAGCTCTTTCTTATAAGAAAGTGACTTACATTGTGAGGTAATAACTGGTTCTGCCCACACATCATTTCATTAAGGGTAAGGGAAGGAGCAGTATGTCTCAATAGTTAGGGCTGGCTTTGCTATGGCAGTCAAACCAAAATTTCTACTTAATTATTGCAGCATGCAACTATGTGCAAGAAAAGATTTTTAGAGCTGCAGATAAGCCTCTGCCTGAGTTGGTTTTAAGCAAAATAAGCCAAGTTTAAACCCAGAACTAGTTTTATGAAATCCTGTGCAAAAATAATGCTCAATCACATTTCAGTTTTGACATGGAAAACTGTTGAACTCTAAACATTTCAAATTCCAGTTTGTCTTTTTGTTACTAGCAGAATACAATGAAGTAATGTGCTGGGGTGCATCATTGCTTTTTCCTTTTATTATTTCTTTTGTTTTTCTGAGTCTTCCAGCATTTCCAAGTTTGCCAGTTTAGGGGAAATTACACAGCTTTTCCAACATGGTGGTGATTTAAGATGTTACCACATACATTGAAGAAAAAAAATGAAAAAAGATACAAATATAGTGCTTCTACACCTAGGAGGACCACACCAGATGAGAAATACAGAGGGGGGGAAACAGGGACCTCAACATTCCATATCTAAAATTAAAACCTTGGAAAATGAATGCAAAACCTTAAATGAAAGCAAAAAAAGACATTTCATTTGAAAACCAGTGTAAAGTACTGACAACTCAACCAATGGAAAGAGGCCTACTGTGAAAATGCATAATAGTTTGCATGCTTGCTTGTTTATCTCAATCAGTCTGATCTACATGTAGCTTTTGAAAGTAGCAGAATAGCAAACAGGTTTATTTGGAGGCTGGACGGGGTCTGGACAATCAGGGATTCCTTTGTCTCTAGTTTTGAGGGTAGGAATTAAAATGAGCTTTCCCCAAGCCAGCAGCTGGGCTGTAACAGTTTTCACTAACCTAAGATCACCTGTGGTAGGAATCAAGACTTACTTGTTAGGCCACATAACAACCAAGACATTAGTAAGGGCTCTCAGTCTCCTGGGGAGAAGTGCCTCAGATTTCTCATGGCTGGGAAGGAAAAGCCCTGATTAGGTTAGAAAAAGACTATTTTATTGTCTATGTGTACAACACTGTAAGGTCATTAGTGTAACTAAATAAGCAAGGGTATAAACCTGCACACAGCTCTCAACTGTGTTCCTGAATAAGCCAGAAGAGCTCCAAAAGGACTATTGTTCTGTAAGGCTTGCACAGGAGCAAAGCTCAGGGTAGATTAGTGAGTTAATCACAAACATTTGCCTCTTTATCCATCTGCCCAGCAGGACATTTTTGAAGCCCTTAGTATCTAACATAGAAACAGTCAGTTCACGATAAAATATCTGCAGCAAAAACCCTGAGACACAGGATAGGACACGTTTGTTTTGTTTTCGCTCAGTTGCATGGATCAGGCCCCAAGATTCCCCTCCTGCTGGATCTAGGGTGGGATCTAGCTTCAGAGAAAGTACCTAATTGCTTGGATTGTGTCCAAACCTTCATCACAGCTACCTTGGGCTTCATATTTCTATGGGATTCAATGTAGACTAATCCAAGCAGCAGAACAGCAATATGGGGACATTGTTTTAAGCATTTCAAAACATGCTTATCCTATTACATTGGAGATAACAGAAGGGAAGGAAGCAGCCCTATCAGGTATTTGAATCCAGTTTGTCACAGAAGAGTCAGTCAAATTGATCAATGTGGTTTTACTCCCTTTAGGGTCTTGCCAGCTACAGAAGATTGTTTCTAATGCATCTGCTGCCTTTTACCCCAGTTTATGTTTCAAAGAGAAGAGAGCAACTTGCAACCCAGCCTGCTGACACACACCAAGATGCATTGAAGAACACACTGGCAATAATGTCACCAGCACAGGCTGGGCCACAGCACTCCTCCTATCCCTGCAGGCCTCATTACCCTACCTGAGCAGGGCTGTTTCAGGAGAAATACAGAATCTGCTGCATGGTTTGAAGGGAGTGCATCTGGCTTTCCCAGCTTGAAACAAGCTCCTGCATGAGATGATTCAAAAAAATGTCAAACTTTGCTTCTGCCCCTTGCAAAGACTCCTTTGTGCCATTAGCCCCAAGCTTGTGGAGAGCAGACAGCACCAGATGTGCTTACTTGAAAAGATGAAGGCTTAATAAAGCATAAAGCAGCTGATATGTATGATGAGTCACTACTTAGTTCCTAACACACATCTGCAGGCTTGTGGTATGGGAGTTCTGTTTAAGATGTTCCCTGTAGGCTGTTTTTTGTTTTTTGTTTTTTTTTTTGTTAACAGAAAATTCCTGAAGTTTTGCTAGCTCTGTTTGATCAAGCACCATACCACATAACTTGGGCAGGTGAAATGCCCTTCAAGCTATGCTCCTGTTTGGTGGCTAAGATTTGCAGACAAACTTGGTGGATTTGGATATCCAATTCTTATATGACAGTTTTCTTTGGGGGATTTTAATTCCCATTTGAGTGAGAAATACTGTAACTGTCTGAGGCTGACTGAAATGGCCCTATCCTGCTAAAGGGTGGTGGTACTTGCTAGAGAGACCAGGAGAAAGGCTGTTGCACAGTGGGGCTGTCTGCCTGGAAGGGAATGCAGAAGTGTAGTATAAGCTAAAGCAGATGACAGGCTGACCAGCCCTGCTCCTGCCTGGGAGTGGCGGGTGTCTCTGTCCCACCTCTGCTTTGACCTGTGGTGGGGTAGATGGTCATAGTTCACGAGCTGGTTTCGAGCATCCCAGCTTTAGCTGAGGGGCTTGAGTTGTATAAATCTGTCCAGTACAGAAGGGAGATAGGAACAGGTTTTGATGGATCCAATGAAAACAAGCACCCAGGTTTCTTTTAGCAAGCTCAGAGGTGCACATTGCATATATAGTATTTCCAGGTCATTGATTTCAAGCAGAGATAGCAGGATGTAATTATACATCTTTCACTGTGCAGTCATAGTTAGCTTAGAATCTGTTTATATCAATGCAGCCTATAGCTATCCCACACTCAAGCCTGCAGTCCCCAGAGCTATTTGGATGAAACTTCCATCTGTACTATTTCCCTTTGTGCAATTAAACAAGCTGTTTATTCAAATAAACAGCTTGTGCTATTGTGCTGTTCACTGCCCATCAGGAACCAACAAATGCAGGAGACTTGGTTGGGGATACAGCCAATCCATCAGCATCTGATGTGCAAAAGGTGTTTGAAATGAGTGCTGCCAATTCTTTCTACAGCAACAAGATCAGCAACAAGAGGTGTGTTTGCCTAGGTTGTACACTGCTTGTATCAGCAAATGACAGAACGATGGAAAGAACTAATGTATTTGTGAAATGTCAGCTCTCGCTGTGTAATAGATACAGTCTCCAGGACTGCAGTGCTTTGAAGAAGAAGAGTTAATCGTTAGGCTTCTCCATCCTTCCTTCTTAACTGATGCAAATTTAATGTGGTCCAAAGGTTCCCCTACATCCACTGGCAGGAAAAGCAGGCCTCCAAGTGCATTTGGAGCTCAAGAATAGGTAGTTGGTAAAATAATTTCAGGAAACTAGGAAGTTTGAAAGTTTTTGATGCATTTAAAATGTAACATTTCCTGGCAAATGCCTGTCCTGCGATCTGGATTAAAAAAGGGAGAGGGATGCTTCTGGTGGTCAGTGGTTAGGTAAAACAGTGGCTGGGCTATACATACATGCAAGTCAAGATGCTGGATCCCTCCTGTGCAGCCTGTGGTTTGGCTGCAGATGCAACACTGCAGTGCTTTTCCTTGGCCATCATGTTAAAGCTGGTCAGGCCTGGATAGGGAGACTGCAGCAATAACTCTAGAAACAAAATCAGCCCATTTCCCCAAGTGAAAAAGCCACCCCTGCAGAACTCCACAAAGACAGCAGCCATGCAGCCATGTGAAACAATCTCTGGTGTCACCCACTGCTTCCTGGGATGGAAAACTACTTGGTGTTGGAGAACCCCAGGGCCCATCCGGGATGGTTACCTAAGGGAACAAGTGGGTGGTTAATTGAGCCAGGGTGAGTTAACCATCATGGACAAAAATAAAAAAATAAAAAACAGGGATGTCTGACATTGAAGGACTGTTTCTCGGATGAGGAATCGCACAGCAATAGCTGCCTGCAGGATAAAATCTTTCTGTGCCAGTCCCTTTCCAGCTGCCTGCAAAGTAACGTGGAAGTAAGCTTTGGGTAGGCACAGCTAAAAAGTCTCTGGCAAGCTAACTGCCTTGAATACTGGAGAGTTCAGTGCCAAAATGCTAGTTGGGTTTTTTGTGGACACACTTCATGTGTCCTCCTAGGACAGAGCCCAGCATATAAATGTTCTGGAATACATTGCCATAGGGAAGCAGCACTATGCCGTTTTGTAGCTTTTTTCAGATGCTACTAAATAAATAGTACAGCATCCCAGGGTAAACAATACTTTAAAGATGAAGTACCCCAGATTGGAATTTTTAGCCAAACTCATCTTCAGTGACCCATGGGTGAGCTCCCCTGGGGTGAGCTCCCCTGGGGTTTCCCTGCCCTGCACCCTGCCCTGCTTCTGCCCAGGCATCTTACCCCTTGGCCATGGCTCTCTTAGGCAAGCTGGGCACCACAGTTTGGAGGAGCTTCTGGAACTGTTTTGCCAGGGAGACGATGTCTTCCAGCAGCTTCCACAGCTGCTTCAGCCTGCAAAAGCAAAATAAGCAGGTGGAGTTTAAGGTCTGGTAAGTACAGCGAAAGGGGGAGAGTTAACAGCAAATGCACGTGGTGATTCTCTTTTCCATACCCAATTAATCCTATGCTTGCTGCACCCACTCTCTCAGGGCTTGGCGTCAGAGAATACCAAATCTTCCTGAAGAGGAAGGAGCTGCTGCTAAGTTTATCTTGCAAAAGCAGTGGGTGTGCATCAGCTTGCCCTGGTTTATAGTTAAACATGGACTTGCTGCCAGCCTGCACTGCCTCTTGGTGTTTCATGTAGAGCTGCCACCTGAAGGATACTACAGCCTGTTATACACCCCAGCAGTGGACTTGCAGGGGTGCCTTTCTGCCCAGAGCTAACCTGGCACTATATCCCTTCAGCCTTTCTTGCCACTGCTGAAGGCACAACCAGTTGTTTCTCCATCAGTCTCAGCTTTGATGCCTTTATTGAGATGGTCTTACCCCTTCTTAAGAAACGCTGGCAGCTTGTATGGCTGCAACAGGACCTTTGACAGTGGATCCTGCAGTCTGAACATCTCCTGCTTCTTCCACCGAGCCAGGCCTGTTCCCATGGGTGACAACACCGAAGTAAATAAAGACCAGTCATTAGAAATATAAAGGCAACAATTCCTCCTGTTCAGCCACTCTTGCTGCAGCTCAGCCCATATGTACTGAGCCCATGCCAGGATCGAGCTTGAGCCACTCTTACAAAGCCTCTTTGCAATGGCTACTGCAGCTATAGACATATTTACCCTAATAAAAATCTCAATAATGCTTTAAATATAATATTGATCCCCTTAAAGTGTTTACTTGCCTCAGCCACCCCCAAAACCCAAGGTCAGCACCCTGAATCCTCTACCTGGAAGGAAGTGCGGCACCAGGTACTGTGGCACCCTTTTGCTCAGGCTGTTTAACATCCCGTTAGGCTGCGGAAAGTCGCTCTTCCCACACATGCTGGCAAAGCGGAAATTGCCGTCAAAGTAGTTAAAGCCAAAGGCATCTGTGAGCCATGAAAAGAAAGGCCTGATGTTTGGCCAACTGCATTGGTTATGCTCTGCTGAGCAGGTCGTGCTTCTAGGCTGCTCTTCGGGTCCTGGGGTAATACTTACTGTTCCTGCATAGGAAAAGGGCAGTGTCCTGGTACCCTTGGGAAAAAATGTCGTTCAAGATCTGCAAAGAGAAACACTAGAGGTCACTAAAGAGCTCTCCTTTCAGGATGGAGGGGCAGAATGTATGCAAAGCTGTTTTGCTGTGGAGGGTTGGGAGTGACAATCTGGGAGGGAATTTGGGTGGTTTCCAGCCACCAACACACTGGTCCTTTGCAGGCTGTCAAACAAGGCGGGACCCTGTCCCAGGCTGGTCACCCATCAGCAGTGTCCACTAAAAATACACTGCAAAAGGAGTGGGGACTGCCCCAAGGTAGTCAGGGTCTGACTCCTTCCCATGAAATCCAATTAATTAATGATGGAGACTGATGTGAACCATAAAGCTTGGGAAAGCAGATCCAGCACTAATTTGTTTTAACCAAATCAAAGGTAGGAGGAGGGCCTGGTGGGCTTACCATGGTGCTAGGTGGAAAGAGGGCATAGCTGATCCTGCACAGGTTTTCTACTGAGATCTGAATGCTGCCGTTAAAGATCTGGAAACAGTAGAAGATGGCAGGACAGTCCCGTGGACAGATATCGAGCTCTCCTGTGAATGGGGACACAGTGATCACGGCTTCCTCCAAGCTGGAGACAGGCTGCAGACCTGTGAATCCTCCGTCAACGTATCGCTGAAGGGGAAGAGCAGAGGCAGGATTTGCTCCAAGGATTGCTACAAAGCATGTGTGAGGGTAGCATCACCTCACCTAGATGCCAGCATCTGACAGATCCTTCTGCTGGGTGCCCTGCTCGCAGCACCCAGCTGGCTCCCCAGCCAGGTGCTGTATAATTTACAGCACTTCTTAAAATGGAAAAATTATTAATTTAGTTCATAAAGATTTATAAAGTTGTTAAGAAATCATACAGTGTCATATAAATTTAAAGTCTTGAATCTCAGGTTTGGTCTTTTTCTGTTGTTACTGTGAGCCCAATCTGTAGGGTGCTCACATTTAATAACTGCCTGCAAATCCCTGGAGAATTACTCACTGGGCAAGGAAAATGTTATTCATTGTATTCCAAAAGGAACTTGAATTGAATGCTCATCTTGATGGGATTTGACGTTACAAGGACTGCAGCATATCAAACTATAGGCCCGTGAAATACCAGTTCAAAGAAGTCTCATGGAATCATAGAAACACAAGGTTGGAAAGGACCTACAAAATCATCTAGTCCAACCGTCATGCAGCAACATCACCAGGCTCTGGGTCCTGCACACATTGTACGCTTTGTGTAAAAGCTCTGTAGCCTGGGTCAGCTCTGGAGGCCTGGCCACAGGCAGCCATGGACACCCGAGGACTGAGCAGGGCCAGTAAGTGCAGATCAACAAGAGCTGAAGAAAGGCCCTGGCTTAAAACCAACTGCAAACCAAGTATCATGGCTTCATGGGCTTTGACATGCAAATGTGTTGTGATGCATTAACTACTCTGTGGTCCGCTGCCATGCTGCACAGAGAACGCAAGGTGTGGTGCTCCTCCTTCACTGAGGCTTAGCAGGAAGACAGACCAAATCTGTTGACTTCACTGCAGTGTTTCATAGCAAATAAATGCGCACATGGTTGAGGGAGGATCCTCCCACAAACTTTTGGTATTTCATCTATGCAAGTCTGCACTTGAGTGAATGGAGACATGTATGCTGCAGACAGATCCTGCCTGGGGTGACCGGATTGCATGTCAAAGTCCAAAGTGTGGGTGTCCTCTCATCTCTCTCTGGAGACCTGTGAGACAAGATGTTATCCAGGCTCTGTCCATAGGCAAAGCAACAGGGGGCTCTCCAGATTGCCATTCACCCTAGCTAATCATGGGATGGTATGAAAAGCATGCTAAAAGGCTTTATCATCCTCTATTAACAGAAGAAGATGCCTAGACATGTACATCCACCCCTGCTGGAGGGCACATACAGTTTAAACCCAGGAACATACTGTTTCAAGCATATGTTTTCTTGAAAATATCACTCACCACACCTCGGTAGGACGGAGGGATGAACCCACAGTAGATAGGAAGAAAACAGCTGCAGAGGAGAGCCTGGAGGAGGAGATGAATTGCAGAAGTAAATGTTCTTATCAAAGTGGCCCTGAACAAAGGCTGCTCAACTGGGTGCCTGCAAATTCAGGGTTGACAAATCATCTGGAGCCAGGCTGTCAGCACCACCTGAGCTTTGCATGTGACTGTGCCCAGAAGAAATGTTTCAAGAAGGCCAAAACATCTAATTTCAACAAAGCTTCTCTGGATAAGGGCATGCCACTTCATTTCTTATTTTGTAGCTGCCAGAAATATTGAAGTTGTATATCCATATATCACTGTCCAAATGCTGCTACTAGCAGTGGCAAGGTGAAACTTTGGGGTCATTTTTCAGACTTGAGGTTTTTGGACAAAACCAAGACATCCTCACAATGCATTTTCATTCTGCTGCGTGTATAACTGTTACTTACCAATCTCAACAGCTGGGAATGAGTATCTCAGGGCCCTGGGTTCCTCTAGGGCAGGCACCACAGGGTGAACACCAGCAGTTCTGCTGTCCTCTACTGGGGCAAGCAAGCCCATAATCTCATGGTCAGCTTCGTTAAGGAACCCTGGGATTTTTTTCCTGACAGCCAATTTGCTGGCTAATTAGCTATTTGTGGTTCAGCAACAGAGGCACTTTGTCCAGATATTTCCTCCCAGGAAAGTGCTGAGGAGATGAGAAAAATTACTGCCAACAGGACTTGGCTAAGAAGAGACCTGTTCAGGAAGCCAAGAGGTCTCGTTAGCATTGACAGCACTCTTTGCAAAAGGTCATTAGCACTTAAATCTGGCCAACATGCCAGCATAATTTTTTTCTGAGAAATAAACCTTCTTCTCTATAAGAGCATGATTTATTCCTGGCTGGCTCTGGACCTAACAGCATCCTTCTCCCTCTTCTCCCTCCCTCCAAGCCTGTTGGAGCTGACGGTGATGGGACCATGAAGACTTTGGCAGAGCTTCCTGACACTCTTCCTATCTTGGGTGGAAAATAGTGCAGTTAACATCACAGATGTTTAGGTACCTCCACCCTATGAGATGGGTAGAAGTCTTCCTATGGGCATCAGAGGAGGGTCCCGTTACCTGAATGAGCTCCTCCTTCGAGCTGAACTCAGAGACCATGACGTTTTGGCCGTCCACTACCCGCGTGAGTGAGATGTGCAGCCGCCCCGAAGCCACCTGGTAGGAGTCCTCTGGCAGCCTCCGCTGCAAAACAGCCCTGATATTTGCCAACAAGCTGCACTTGGGAGAGAGAGGGCCCAGGATGGTTTTCCTGGCTTCCTTGGCAGTTGCAAAGAAACATTCCTTTAGGTCATCTGATATGGGGGGGGGGGGGGGGGGTAGGGGGGAGGGGGGAGAGAAGACAGAGAAACAGTCAATATTGCCACTGCCCCTAGAGTTTTATTTTCAACCCTAGTTTTAACACTGCACACCATTCAAGATTTTCGTGGATCCGAGCACTATACCCTGGGATGACACTGCTGCTCTAACTGGGGACACGGTGATGAGATGGAAAGAGTAACTTCTCCCCCATGGTGTCCTCAAAGGACAACATGCTACTGAGCACAACCCCATTGGTGACATCCTCATGAGTACTGAAGAGTGCCTGTCAAGGGTTAGGGACAGACTCCAAAGTGTCCCATAAAGGGGGAGGCAGCACAGATGTGGGGTTGTCAGTGTCACTGTGATTTGCACAACATATCCCTGCTCTGTGCAGGGCTTTCCTGCAAGCTGGGCATCCAGTCTGCAGTGTGCTGGGGCTCCCCACCCAACTGAGCCCCGGTGACCTCCCAGCCAGTGTTAAAAATCATTGCAGACATTTGCACATCCCAGAAGCTGGATTAAAGGAGGAGAACTGCAGAGCCCCAGATGAGGGGGCAGCAGCCAGAAGTTTTGGAAGTAATGGGAGGAAGAGAGTTTCAGTAAACCCCGTGGTCAGCACTGGGGTTTGATCCTTCATCTGTTTGATGAAATGGAGAGGTTACCTGGGGGAATACCCCACCTCAGGCAGATAAACTGTGGCCTTGTAAAGCTTCTCCAGCTCCCCAGACCTGCGAAGAATGATCCTTATGCCTAGGCAAGCTCACCAGGACTCTGCGCAAGCTTTTGTAGGAGCAGAGGTGCTGTCTTGTGAGATTGCTTTAAAAGCACAGACAGACAGACGGTGTCCTGAAGGCAACTGGAGCAACACAGGTATTAAGAGGTGTTATAACTGTTTGAGCGGATGTTTAGGCCATGTGGTGCGATGATTAACTCTCAGTGGGTTCATGTAGGGTCCTCAGGGACAATGAAAGAGCTGAAGATACCCCAGGCACTGCCTGGCTGCTCTGCTCCCTGGCAATGGGGGAGAACCTGAACAACCAACCTGTGAGCTGCTGGGCAGGAAGCGATAGCTGGCTGCAGCTCTGGGGACTCTGGCCAAGGGCATGAGGTTGGTTGGGCTGACCCCCACCGGTGTCCAAGAGGTGACCGGTGGGATGGCAGGGGACAGTCTGGCTTGGGGAGTGCTGAGCTCGTCACCCAGCCCAGGCATGCAACTGCATCCACCCCACGAGACACCCCTCCAGGGGCTGAGCACGCCCTTAACCCCCATTCTACCCCTCTTCTTGGCTAGAAACTTGGCTAGGTTTGGGCCTCATTGCATTTCCCTTATTAGAAACCCATACAGATACATAACTACTCAAAAGATCTTTTCTTTTCCTGGAGAAAGTGCTTCGGATACAAGATCATCTGAGCATCTCCACTAAGGAGCCAGTGCCCTGCCAGCCCAGTGCAGCAGCCCCCTGTTCCAATGCTGATGCCACTGGTGAGAGCAGCTGGACCTGCACTTGTGGGAGCCCCAGTTCCATCCCATTGCACCAGAGAGGAGAGGACTAGGGCCCTTACTGGGAAGTTCATCCCCACATGGGCAGAAGGCTTTCCAGCAGCACATAGCCTGTTGTTTTGTCTAAATTTATTTGCCAAGTTCTGAATTATTTTTAGCTCCAGCTGAGTGACTCTAGTGCCCATCAGAGGTTATAAGTGTTTTACATTTCCTCCTTGCTTTCTCTTTATTTTGACCCCAAGAAGAGTGCCTGGACCCTGATCCTCCTGAACATCCATATCACTTGATGCAGAGGCTGGATCAGCATTCAAAGGCACATCTTGCATACACTAGTTTACATATAGGCTGCAATTAGAAATATGTTAGGATGTGATTATTAAAGTGGATTAACTGCTCTGAATTAATTCTACATGTAGATTTATTGCTAAGGGGGCCTACTTCCACATTGTCTAAAGTGGTTCAGAGTAAAAACCTCTTCTGCAGCAATAAGAGCTCCAGCCAGGAGTGGGGATTGCCGTTCCCCTGGCACATCCTGTCCCAATTATGAGCTCTGGTGCTTTTTCCAGCATGAAAGCTTCTCTTCTATCCAGAAACAGGCATTGAGCCATGTCTTCCCTCGTGCTGGATCAGTTGGTTGGGCTAACCCAAGCAGTGTGCAAGGGGGGTTGTTAACTCTACAGACACCCATGTGGCTGCCACTCACATCCCTAAAGATGCTAAGGGGTCTGACCCCATAAGCACATAATATGTGCGTATTATACATATGGCATAAGTTTAGTTGCACTTGCTTTGAGACACATCTCGGCACTCCCTGGAGCTGGCAGCAGAAGGGAAGGAGATCTGCTCCTTCAGCAGGAACAGGTGGATGAACTAATGCAATATACAGGTATGTCCAGATTTGCCCATGCAGTATCTACCCAACCATCTGAGGCAACATTCAGACAGCAATAACTGGCTTTTTCAGCAGACACCACCCAAAATTGCTTTAGGGTGACTGCCAAAAGTGACATCACCTGAAGATTTCTTTTATGCATTATAAGTGATATGAGTTGCACTAGTAATACATCCCACCTCCCAACAGTGCTTAAGATATTATCACCTCCCGTTCCATTCTGAAATAAAAATTCTGTAGCAAAGAAAGTGGTTATTTCCTTACCGAGGCTGATGCCACACACCACAGCAGCAGCGATAAGTGAGCCAGCAGATGAGCCATAGACCTTGCAGGCAGATTTGAGCAGCTCGGGAGCCAGCTCCAGGAGGGACTGCACCACCCCAACCTGGTACAGGGCAAGAAAGCCGCTGCCTGAAAAGGATAGCGAGAAAGGGGTGCCTGAAGCCTGCAGATCCTCCACAGTCATCTTGAGGTCAAATTTCTAGTTCAATGTCACAAGCCGTCCTTCATCATGTAAACATCAAGCTTTTATCTCCTCTGCTTTCCTCAGGCTCATCTCTGGCTGCAGCTGAGTTCAGAAGATGGATTTTTTGCCTCTTTTAATGACAGATCCCAAGGTGTTTACATTCACAAGTTACTTCAGTTGCCTCCTGTTCTAAAGCCAGATTTCCCCTGGTCTAAACAGCTCCTGTAATCCTCAAGGATGGCCAGCTCCACTGCTCAGGGCTGAGTCAAGACTTCCCTTTTATAACGAGTGATCCTAAGTCCCGTCAGCTGCCACCTGGAGATGGTCCCCACACTGCTGTGCCACCGTGCATCAGAACAGCCACGTAAATTTTCCTCTTTGCATCATGCTTTGTTCATCAAGGGTGTTTTTCTAAATTGGATTCACCTTCAATCCTGGCTTAGGCACAGCTCAGTACTGAGTGAGTAAAGGCTTGTATAAGACACTTAAAGCCAGAGGGTGTTACACAAGGAGTGGATGTGGGCTGTTACACAGAGTGCTGTGATAGGTTTGGAAATATCTCTTGTAATTGCTCCCTGTTGGAAACTTTTTGTCTTTGCCTGACTTCTGGATATGCTTTGGCCAGAAACCCAAGGAGCTGGATTTGCTGTTCTCTTCCCCCGGCTCTGTGTTTTGTAAGGCCCCAGAAGGACCCCCTGCAGCAGCACTGTGCTCCCTAGATCTTGGGATACCAACCCAAAGCGCAACTGCCTTCAGGCTGCCTCCATTAAAAATTAAAAACAGGAAAAAATTGAATAGATTTCTAGTGCTTTTTTTTTTTTTTTTCCTTTATAACCTAATGCTGCTGCCAACATGCAGAATAAAAATTGTTGTTTTAAATAGATTTATTAAATATTACTAAATAATGTGTCACTTATGTTGTTGAAACACATATGCGTAGTGTTTAATGAATAGTACATATGTTACCTTCAAGGTTGTGTATTTATTATACCCATATGCATAATAAGGACATGTACATAACAACAGGCATGCTTAAGGAGAGACCTCTCATTCCCTGGGCTGGTATGAAAGCCTGGCCAAGACTGCAAGGAAACAAGACTGTCCCAGCATCCAGAGGAAACCTCTGCAATGCCGTTCCCCCCTGAATCTCAAGAACTTTCCTTGTCCTCTCCAGCCACAGCTGAGTCCCCTCTGCCCCACTGGGGGCTGTATGCTGTGTGGTGGGAGCAGAAACTCTGACCTCAATGTGTAAAACACTTCTGGATTGGAGTTTTGTTGGTGGCTGCCATCAGCAGATAAGCATCAATTGCAAGTACTCCCGGATTGGTACCACCTGCATGACCAGGGATGCCCTGGGCCACAGGACAAGAAGCAGCAAGCCACCAGCTCATAAACCTATTGCAACATGATCTGGCCTGTCCCAGCAGTGAAAAACTGCTTTGCAAGAGGGTGTTTGCATGTGACCACTTCCTACTGCAGATATACAGTCTTACTGGATTCACTCTTCTACATCCATTCATTGTCTTTTCTGTGCTTGATTTTTAGCCCCTCGTCAGGTGAGTGTCCCACCTTCATGCCCCATCCCATCCTTCCTGCCAGCTCATTCTGTGTGATTCATGCAGATTCATCCAGATTTTGGGAAAGCCAATTTGTTCACTAAAAGGCACTGGCAAACATCTGCCAATAGAAGAAAGGTAAAAAGCATCAGCTTTCACTGCAACTGATCTGAGCACACAAGTGCATCAGAAGTACATAAGTGCACTTCATAAGTACTTATGTGCATCAGGGCCGAAGGGAATTAAGCAGGCTTCAAACAGGAGAAGCATGGGATGTTCTTGCTTTGCTCAGTGCTTGTAGCTCTTCAGCTGCCAAGATGTGGAAAGCTGCAAATGATCCCATGGGACATGCAGGAATGTCCAGCACATGGCACAAGGCCAACTTTCCTGTAGGAACTGAACTTGATACAAAATTTCTGGGAGCTCCTCAGGAGTTCAAATGCAGACCCAGCTGACCAGATGTCATTCTCCCAGGCTCTTCTTTGGACACTTTGTACTGGTCTCTTCCCTTGTAGCTGCAATGAAGCAACATATTAAATGTCTACTTTTTTTTTTTTTCTGTTCTGGATGATGAAGGATCTTGAGCTGGATGATGAAGGACCTTGCAGTAGTCACAAAAAAAGTATCTTTTCAAGAAGACATTTCTCCCATATATCTCTCCATGGGGAGATATACTGTGAGTGTGAGAAGATTCCCATCAAAGGAAAGGAGTACAGCCCCACACTGAGCCAGGACCAGTCCAGGAGAGGGGCAGAGGTCACCAGGCAGGATGGGCAAGAGGATGAGGGTCCACACACAGGAAGGACAGGAGACACCAAGACTGGCAGGGCAAAGGCAGCTCCCTAAAAGCTGATGACTCAGACTTGCAAGGACTTCATGCCCAAAAGCCCTGGGCTCCCTTTGGCTCAGGAGGAGCCAGGCTTTGGGGGCGCACCTTGGGCTTTGCAGCCAAGGGGTGCACAGCCACATCCCAGCATTTCCCCACCCCGCCCCCAAGCCTGCCATGAATTATAAGGAGTATCCTCAGGGGGGTGGGGGAGGGGAGGCAGGGAGGCATGCAAAATCAGCCCTTACCCATTGCAGATGCTGAGACCCCAGAAAGCATCCCGGTGGACAGAAGACTACTTGGCTGACTGCCACGCTCCCGTGAGATGAAGCCTTGTCATCATCCTCTTAGTGACAGCGAATTTTGTATTAATTGCCTCCTTAAGTGCTAGGCTGATTTTCTAAGCCACCCTCCCCCTCCCGGCACCTGGCAAAGCAGGATTAGCAGGGCCTAACTACTTGGGACAGCGGGGTCCTGGGCATGATTTCAGGAGAAGACCTGTGTGTGTGGAACACCAAAGCCAGCATTTGCCTGGGCAGGATCAGTGTCCAGATGGCCAATGCCCATGATCCCAGGGATTTTCAGGAGAAGCAAATGCCTTAGCTTTTTGAGACCATAGCAGGCAGTTGAGGGTAGGATGAACATAATACCCAGAGCTGGAAACTGTTCAAAACTCTGGGGATAATAACTTGTCCTGCTCTAATGCCTTCTTTAATATCTTCAGTGGCCGCAGGCAAGCAGTGTCTGTAATTTTTAACCAAGAAATTAAGCAAAGATGCTGAAGTCACTTGGGAGAAGAGACCTGGGCTACACAAGCCACTCCTGTCTTCATTCTGCCTTGTCCTTGGTTGGGATTTGGTTATTTGGGACCACAAGCCTGTTGTGCTTGGGGCTGAGAAGGTTTCACTCCGTGTTTCCCTGGCACCACAGCCCCAGCAACCCCAGGAGGAGGTGATTTGGTTCATCTGACTTCAGGAAAAGCACAGGAAAAGTGAACGGGAGAGGGAATTCATTTTTCTTGTTGGCATTTTGCTTGGTGGGCACATCCCACATGCCGAGGTGATGTCCTCTGGGAAGTCGGAGTGGATACGAAACCTACTCCTGCTCCACACAAATACAAACCACGCCCGGTCGCGGGTGCAAAGCAAACAGGAGCATTGCGGCTCCTCCCGCCGGCCCGGCTGCGTCCCTGATACCAGCTCACTCCAGGCACAGCCTCGGCACCGCCCCAGGCGCTGGGTGCCAGGCAGGTGACAGTCTGCAAACAGGCGAGAGCAGTTTCGGTTTCTCCAGCAGTAAATGTCACCCCAGGCTGGTTCCTGGCCAAAAGGAAACACTGTGCTGGCAACACTGGGCAGCGGGATTTGGCTGCTCTTTGAAATGTTTCCTTCAAGGCTTTGCAAGCAGGGGAATGGGACATGCAAGGCGGAGGTCTGCTTCCCTCTTGCAAGGACTCTGCTTCCCCAGATAGTTCTACCTGGGGTTTTGCAAGGACGGAGAAGAGCAGCTACCCCAGGAGTGGAGGGTAAGTGGGGGGTGCTGCTGGGAGCCCATGCAGGACCGTCCCCCAGCATGGCACTGACCCCAATCACAGCTATCACCTTCAACCCACTGGAGTGTCCCACCCCTTGCATACTGTCAGCTCCCAAATTTTGTCCCCTTCACCCCATGATGGGTCTGACCCTAGCATAGAGATGCTGCTGCCATTCCCACCACCCAGAGCACCAGCACTCTCGGCTCCAAGCCAAGTGCAGTGCCTTAATCCAGGTCCCTTCTTAGGGGTCTGGGCAAAGATTAACTGGGAACATTCCCCCTGATTAGCGTGTAATCTCTTAGACATTTCACATCTTCTTACACATCATAGGTGAGACCCCAGCAGCTGTAGCTCCCTTGAGGACTAAGGGATTTACAATGACTGCAGTTTCTGGGCCACTTGGAACAAGCTTTACCCAGGTCCTGGTGTCAGATCAATCTGCTTTTGTAATTAAATCTCCTTTTTCTGGAAAGGGAATGGCCATAAATAGACAAAACGGGAGGAGCGCACCACATAACTGCTGTAAAACTCAAATTATGTCACTCTGGGTTTGGCTTGAAAGAAGCAGCTCACAACAGCTATAGCAAAGCAAACTTTATTCCATGTATAGCACATTTCCCACAGCCTTTAGACAAGCCTGGCTGTCACAAAGGGATCAATTCATTTGCATTTTATGTTTTTGTTTTCTGAATAGGACCCATGGCAGAAGCTATAGAAATTATATTGTACATTCACAGACATGTATAGAACAGTAGGTAAATAAATACACATACACACACATGAACAAACCATGGGGTTCAACACATGCATTTATGAGGGCCAAAAAGGAAATATAGAGCAATCTCAGACATTTGGGCTCAACAGACTAGGTTCCCCTCAGATCGGCTGGTTTAATCACTTCATGCTACGGTGGCTATTGTTGTGGTTTTCCTTCGCAGATTTAAAATTCACAGCTCATGAAATCACACCACATCCAGGCCACCCACAGGGACTGTCCCCCATCATGAACACGAACCCTTGGGTTCACAGGCACAGCTGATGTCAGTCCGGGCTCTCGCAATTGTCTGTGCTGAACTCTGTTCTGTCCTGCTGAGACAAAAGGAAACGTCTGTGATGTCCCATCCTAAACCAAGTCCATGCTACTGTTCTGCCCTATGGGTCAAGGAGGAATTTTCCCCACACAGTCAAGGAGAAAAGTTGTGGTTATACCAGATCACAGCAATGTTGTGCACTATAGGCACCTCCTGGCTGCAGAGATGTAGCAGGCAGAGAGCAAATTGTAGCCTCATAGACCAGCCCAGGTTGCAAGGAACCTCAAAAGATCACTGGATCCAACCTTCCATGGGGAAAGGAAGCCTCGATGAGATTATCCCACACCCTGTCCAACAGCATCTTGAAACCCACCAATGACGGGGCCTCCACTATGTCCCTGTGGAGGCTGTGTCACTGACTGCTGTTCTTACTGAAAAATTACTTTCTTATAAAAATACAAAACTTCTCCCAGTGCAATTTATACTCATTCCCCCTGTCTTCTCCATGTGACTCCTTGTCAAAAGAGAGCCATCCTACAAAGGTAGCTGCATTTCAGGTATTGGCATACAGTGATGAGCCCCCCTCACAAGCCTTCTCTTCTCTGGGGTGAAAAGACCCAACTCGTTCATGCTTTCCTCTCAGGGCAGGTTCTCCAGCCCTTTGATCCTCTCCACGGGCCACACTGAAGAAAGACTGTCCTGCAGGACTTCCAACCTCCAGGAGCCTGTCCCAAAGCCCCTCCACTCCTGCATGGGGCACACACTGTCCCCACACTAGCAGCATATGGCAAAAACCAGCACCCTGTCACCCCCAACATAATCCATTTTGCCTGCCACGCACTTTCTTTGTTCATCACATTCAAATCCTAGCCCTTGCCCTAACTTGTTGTTGGCAGTTCAATCCCAGCCTCACTTCTCACTTTGCCGGCTGAATATGAGCCAGCAGTGTGCTCAGGTGGCCAAGAAGGCCAACGGCATCCTGGCTTGTATCAGAAACACTGTGACCAGCAGGGCTAGGGAGGTGATCGTCCCCCTGTACTCGGCTCTGGTGAGGCCGCACCTCGAGTACTGTGTTCAGTTTTGGGCCCCTCACTACAAGAAGGACATCGAGGTGCTTGAGCGGGTCCAAAGAAGGGCGACGAAGCTGGTGAGGGGCCTGGAGAGCAAGTCCTATGAGGAGCGGCTGAAAGAGCTGGGCTTGTTCAGCCTAGAGAAGAGGAGGCTCAGGGGTGACCTTATTGCTCTGTATAAGTACATTAAAGGAGGCTGTAGAGAGGTGGGGGTTGGCCTGTTCTCCCATGTGCCTGGTGACAGGACGAGGGGGAATGGGCTAAAGTTACGCCAGGGGAGTTTTAGGTTGGATGTTAGGAAGAATTTCTTTACTGAAAGGGTTGTGAGGCACTGGAACGGGCTGCCCAGGGAGGTGGTGGAGTCACCATCCCTGGAAGTCTTCAAAAGACGTTTAGATGTAGAGCTTAGGGATATGGTTTAGTGGGGACTGTTAGTGTTAGGTTAGAGGTTGGACTCGATGATATTGAGGTCTCTTCCAACCTAGAAATTCTGTGATTCTGTGATTCTCCTTACCTGGAGGATCTTGCTGTAGGACAGCGGTGCAAATGAGTCTTCCAGATAGCGGGTGCCAAAGCCCATGATCCTGTTCACTGCCTGGTTACAGATGCCGGCCACCTTGGCGGTGAGGTGTACTGCAAAGGCAAACTGGATTTCTTGGGGGTTGACGTTGGGCCTGCTGGCTGTCATCTCCTTGCGGACATAGGCATCAGCCAGGTTTTTGAAGGAGCTGTAGGACATGTCTCTGAAGAACATCTGCAGCCATGCATCTTCCTTCACCTGTTTAAGAAACAAACAAATGCACACATTAAGAACAAATAACCTGGTGTGTCATTAGGCTGATGCCTTCACATCTCACTAAGACTGCAGATGAGAGAGGACAGACAGGCAGACATGATCACACCCAGTCGGGGAATTAGGACGTGCCACTTCCTTGATTTTACTGAGCATTTCCCTGCACCAGGGAAGTATTGCACCGTTTTAGAGCAGTGATCAGCCCAAATTCCCCCAGCTCCATCCAGCTGACTGCAGTTCCCCTCTCACCTTCCTGTCCAGCTCATCTCCGGCACTCTGGAGCAGGGCCACGATTTTCCTGATGGCTTCATCTGTAGAGAGAACACAGTCACTCCCTTGTTACCTCTAGCCCTGTGGCTGATCACCATGCGTGGATGTTCTCAGGGCAGTGCAGCTTTTTAGCCCCTCTGACGAAACTTCCCAAGCAAAGCGTGTCATCCTCCAGCCCTGGAAAACCCATTTCAGCCTATAGCTGAACACCTTGCTTTCATCAGTCAGGAAAAACAGCCCCCTGCCTTTGAATTTGTCCCTCCCCAGATCAAGCCCTGCTGCTGAAAATCCCCGCAGTGGGTTCATATGACTCTTTGGGTTGTATTAAATGCCAAGGCAAGACTGAAGCAGGGCTTGGGTCCCATTCAGGCTCCTCATGGGGATAAATACCATGTTACTGTTTTCTGTACATGCAAAGAGCAGCACTCACCAACCCCATCGGCACCACCCAACCTCAGCAGCTGCTCGCCCCCGTGCTCCCTGTTGCTTCGGCTCTCGCTGCCTTGCACAATCAGCCCAATCTCCTCTGAGACTCGCGTGTAGTAACCATCCGGCTGCTCTGCCTCTGCTGGAAGAAGAACACATGTTCAGAATCAGGGATTTTTCTTGGCCAAATCACCAACTGATAGAAAGGGGAACACAGACACTACTGGCATGGTGCCTGTGTCCACGCAAGGTCAGCACACGCCACTGTGAACCATGCGCTGTGTTCCCTGAACTGTAGCTGAGCTTCTGCAATGGCCCCAAACCAACCAGGCTTTCACAAAGATCCCCTGGCAAGCTTCTTGGGAAGTGCTCAGCATGGGGATGAGGGTGTCACTGCCACGGCAGCTCCCACCCTTCCCTGCAGCAAAGCAAAAGCAACAAGTGATAGCCCTTAGGTGGTTTCAGATTCAATCTCTGGTTTCAAATGCGGATTTAAACTAAATCATGATATCCCTCATTTGCTACAGGGGGAAAGCCTGTGCACAGATAAAAACTGTGTATGGATAAAACCTGCATACAGATAATCACTATGGAGCAGGTTGCATTAACTGGCTGCACTCATGAGTCCCAGTAATGATGCAAGCTGGTGCACCTCACCCAGGGTCATCTTCAACATGGGCAAATTTGAACTATTCTTGGTGCAGCAAGTCAAGTGTGGAGCCCTGCAAATCCAACCCCAATGCCCCATAAAGCAACATGTGGGCAATGCTTAGTAAGGATTAGAAACTAGCGCTCCACACTTGCTGTTGCTTTCCCCCCAAAAAAAAACACCTGAGGTCCCATTGGTGAGGGCAAGGGTGGGGGTCCCACCTGGGGGGGCTGGTCCCTGGACATGCCGCAGGGGTAGGCAGCTGGGGCGCTTGGCCCTCGCCCCTGTCTCACCCCGCTCCTCCTCTGCATGCTTCTTAAAGGAGAAAACCCTCTTGAGGCTGGGTCTCCTTCTGGGAGCTTTGCCCAGTGGTGGGGACATGCTTGAGTCGGTTCTGGGTTTCCTGGCTCCTTCTGTTTTACTGCTGTAAGGAGTTTTGGCATCTTTTTCCTTTGCTTTCTGTCTTGCATTTTCCTTCTGGTCCTCAGGGCTCTTCTTAAAGAGGAAATTTAAGAAGCTTTTGAACCAGGTGCGCTGGGTTTTGCCCTGGGAGAAGATTTTCGTGCTTTTCTTCTTGGTCTCCAGTTCCTCCTTTGAAGCCTCCCCAGGAGCTGATGCTTTGCTTTCCTCGAACAGAGCCTGTTCCAGCTCCAGCACCTTGGGTGCCTCTTCCTGGTCCTTCTTCAGGCTGAGCTTGGCACATGAATACTTGCAGAAGTCGCTCTCTGACCTTTGCAGCCCAAAAGCCTTCCTCCCTCGCCCTCTGGCTCCCTCTTGAAGCCTTTCCTTTGCTGCCTGTGAGTTCTCGCAGCAACTCAATGAGCGCCTGACATAGATCTCCAGCACCTTTTTGGCCCCTTGCCTGTCCAGTGAGAGGATGGTCCTTGACAGCTGTCGCCCTGCGTCCCATGGCTGCTGCTCTGCAGCCAGAGCCTGCACCTTGCTGTGAAGGAAAACAACATTTTCAGCCTGGTTTTGCAGTTGGATTGAACATGATGGAAATCACCACTGCTTTGGCTAGGACTGCAATCCAAGAGTGCTTTGGGTGTCCAAGGGTTCTTCTGTTCCAGGTAAATGATCAACCCCTTTTATAGTTGTTATTTAAGTGCTGTTTATGTAGACAGCACACTTGAGGTTTTATGATGGGCTATAGACACTGCTAATCAAGGAAGTGAAACTGCATGGAGGGAAGGATAAGCTGAGCAGGTCCCACAGGGGCTGCCAGGTTTGTGCAGGTGTAACCCAGCCACCATGCTGCTGCATCTTCCCATTGCAACATATCACCATACTACAAAAAAAAATAAAATAAAATAAACAACCTCTAAGCCCAGATCTTTGAGCATCTCCCTTTGAAGCAAGGGTTGCTAAAAAATTAAAACAGGACCAGACACTCCTGTGCTTTGTGCTGGTTCTGCACCCTTCAGAGAACCAGACCCAAACCACTTTCCCCTGCTGAGTGGCACACGGAAATCCCACATGCTCAGCCGTACAAACCACTCAGAGCTGCTCAGTGCAGATGAGCAAACATAATTCACAAGCACACCTGTCCACCGCAGGTTGGCCATTTTTTTGGATCAAGAAGACAACTTTCATTAATCCAAGGCAACACCAGAGCCAACCAACCACCCAAGCTAGCACTAGTAATAAATCATTCAAATAGATTTAATCACAGCAGAGCAACAACCCTGTTTCGCTTTGACTGATTCCAGCCCCTTGGCCACATCATTCTTTATTTGCTCTTTTGGTATTTACCTTTCCATCAGTATTTCTGTCCTTCTAGACATTCATCAAGACAAGCTCCACAGCAGTAAGCACTAAGGGTGTTCAGGCTCCCTCGGGAGCTGCCTATTTTATAACCAGGTTGATGACCAGCTGACTCAACCCTATTTTTAGCAGCCACTCAGGAGTGCGGCCGGCACTTCCAGGTGCGTGAGTTTCACCGGAGAGGAAAATAATTTCCTTCTGATAGCCAGCAGCAAAATAGCATAAAACATTCATGTCACCTGGCATAAGCACTGGCCTTTGATACCAGCTATCTGAGCCAGCTGTTTGGTGGATTTTAGTTGTTTATTGTTTTTATTTTTCTTTTGTTTTATGGCCTAAAAGGGCTTTTCCAGGTTGTTTCTGTAAGGAGAAGCCACAACTTTTTCAGGGAAATTGAGGCTTAATACAGCAACCAGATCTCCCCACTCACACCCCAGGGAAGCGGATGTCATGGGCTGATGTATGAGTGCAGACACACTGGGACACAATGCTAACAGGATGTCTCCAAATGCCAACCATGAGCAGGCTGCAGTGTCCTTGAAACCCACCCTAGGGTTCTTCAGACAGCCTGCTCACCTACCCTAAAAAATGAAACAGGACCCGTTTTGTGATCCAAATGCTTCGCACCCGCCTTGCTCCCTGTCAGCCTTGTCCAGGGACAGAACACCTCCTGGGGTGAAGCTGCAGGGCACAGCTCTGCACCTCCAGCATCCACCAGCCCCAAGGACAAAAAAATCTTCAGTCTTGGTTACACCAAATTCACCTGTACCTGTTGCTCCCTCTGGCAGGCTGCTGCTTGCCATCTTCATTGCTATTTTGCCATCTGATGGCAATATTTCGCACTGCAGCTTACAGCAATGGTGCCACACATGGATGCACTTGCTGGGAGGTGGCAGTGACCTGCGTGACTGCTAGCACTTTGACTTTGGAAAATCCCACAGTGAAATTTCCTTGTGAGCAATGCTTTGTTTTCTCCAACTTTCAGCTAGGGTAATATGCTGTCCTGGTCTGACAGTCTCGATGGTCTTTTTGATAACTGATCTAGCTTGCAATTCAATGGGTCCAGGATTATTTTCCTTAGTTTTCTTTCTACAAACTTTCTGGGCCATAATTTCTCACTGCTTGAAGAAATGCAGCCCACTTCCCTCCTTTTCTCCTTAGCCTACACTTATGATTCAGCCTGGCATTCATTAGGAAATACCCAGCTCTGTTTTCCAGTATCAACATCACCTGCTGATAAATAATTACTCTGCCCATTAGGAACCCCATGGCATATGACCACTATGGCTGAGAAGGACTTTCACAACCAATTTAGTTTGCTTTTTCCCTGCAACATCCCCATAACAAACAGCCACATCTACTCTGGCAATGGAGCACAGTTTGGCCATCTTTTTTTTGGAGCTGCTGGAGATATCCAAGGCTGAATCTAAATGCTGGCCCCATTCATGGAGGACTTCTCATGACTAAATGGGGAATCATCACTGACTTATGACCTCTTACAAGCTTTTCCTCTTTGTACCTGTATTCCTGGACACATCCTGGAGATGGGCCACCCAAAGCAACTTTAGGGAAAGTCTGGACCTGAACTGTGATTCAGGAACCAGACCTTTACGCAAGTTCAGGCCCCTTCTGAGATTTAGGACATGCTCAAAACAAATGGGACAGATGCATATGAAAGAGATATTCACAGGAAATGTGAGACAAATCAAAAGCCCATTCCCAGAATTGAGAGGAAAGATCTTAACGTCTGGATCCAAATTTGTCCACTTTTCTCAACAAAACCAGGAGAGAATTATGAAAGGTCACATCATGGAGGGAGTGTGCAATGCTGGGGTTGGTATGGAGATACAGCAGGAAGGAAACTGGATTATTTAATAGAATAGAATAGAATAGAATAGAATAGAATAGAATAGAATAGAATAGAATAGAATAGAATAGAATAGAATAGAATAGAATAGAATAGAATAGAATAGAATAGAATAGTGCAGCTGGAAGGGACCTACAAAGATCATCTGGTCCAGCTGCTTGACCTCTTCAGGGCTAACCAAAAGTTAAAGTATGTTATTTAAGGGCACTACCAAGATGCCTCTCAAACACTGTCTGGCATGGGGCATCAACTGCCTTGCCAAGAAGCCTGCTCCAGTGTTTGACTGCCCTCACAGTAAACAAATTTCTCCCAGTGTCCAGTTTGAACCTCTGCTGGCACAGCTCTGTGCTGTTCCCGTGCATCCCACCAGTGCCAACCAGGGAGCAGAGACTGGTGCCTCCCTCTGCGCCTCCCCTCCTCAAGGAGAGGCAGAGAGCACTAAGATCGGCTCTTGGCCTCCTTTTCTCCAGTCCAGACAACCCAAATGCCCTCAGCCTCTCCTCACAGCACATGCCTTCCAGCCCTTGTACCAGTCTCACTGCTCTCCCCTGGACACAAGGACCTTAACATCTTTTTTATACTGTGCACCCCAAAACTGTGCCCAATATTCAAGGTGAAGCTGAACCAACATTAAAATGAGGGAACAAATTCCTGAGGTGAAACTGCAAGGTGCTGAGGGTTACAATGTGCTCTGGAATGAAACCCCCCAAATTTCTTGGCAACAAGGCAAACAGAGACCACAGCTGGGGAGGCTGAGGCTGGACATCAGAAAGAGCTTCCTCTGCAAGAGTTGTCCCACTTTCACATGGGTACCCCTGAGGGGTGGGGGATCACCAGCCTTGGAGGTCTTCAAGATTTGGATAGCCAAAAGCATGGCTCACCCAACCAGGTGTTGGTGGCAGTTGCGTTTTAAGTGAGAGGACAGCCCACGGACCACAAAGGTCCCTTTGAGCCCACCACCTGGGCACAGAGACGTCTGCAGCTTTGGACCTGAACCAAGAAGCGAGTGTTGAAGGCAGCCACTTCTCCCCACACAGGGCATAGTTAGAAAAAGGACACAGCCAGCATGTGGCATCCTCATGGCCTCAATGGAAGCCTCTCAACCCAGTTGTGCAGTGCCTCTATCCAAGAGGTTGGTGGGCACCAAAGCTGGTGGGGGACACCCACCTGTGTGTCACCACCCCTGAACTACAGCCACAGCTGAAGTCTCCAACTCATGTGCGCTCTCCCTCCTCACACGCCCACATCAAACAGCCCCAGCACAAGCAGCAGTTACAGGGCTGTTAACCAAAAGGGATGGATCCTGTTCCAGGAAAGCAGTGTGCTTACAGTCATCCCACCTCTGCTTTTTGCAGGAAGAAGAGCAGTGGCCACATGCTCTAGGATGGACAGACACAAGCACTTCCTGGAAGCTGAGAAGGAGCTTGTCATCGCAAAAGTGCACTTTGCTTTTTGCTTTCCAAGATCACTCCAGCATGTTGTTTGCATTTGGCAGCTTCCCAGGTTTTAGAGGAAATCCCCATCCAAGTCCAACAGGATCCTTAGTCATCACTGGAGGAACAGGTGAAAAGCAGCAACATGCATGCTCCCTGTGAGCACAGAACAAGCACTGGGGTCACCACCAGTTCCAACAAAGCCACCCACACAAACTTGAGAAGCAGTGGGCTGCCTGGGAGTCATCAGGTCTGTTTTCATAGCAAGAAAGTGGGTGGGATGTCATGCTAGGAGAAAAATCAGGAAAAATGCACCCAGGAGTGACACATGGCTAGGATGGGACCGTTTCCAGGGAACGAAGTCTGCTCTCCTACAAAAGCTGTCCCTCATAGGTGGGCAGGCCTTACACTGACTCTCTGCTGGATTTTACCCCAAGACCTGGTTTTAGCCTTCACTGAGACAAAATACAGCCTCTGTGCAAGGATGTGTGAGCTTGGGGTGCTTCACTACACCTCCCTGGAGTGGTGCATCCCCAGGCAGCAGCTTGGCTGGTGCCATATGACCTCCAGCCCTTGCTCCTAGCAGAGGTTTTGGCATCCCTTCCTAGCTAGCATCTCACAAAGGCAGTGAGGCTAACACTCCTTTACCCCAACAGAGCTTCTCATTTCCTTCTCTGCCATTGTTTCACTTGTGTTTTGCTGACAAGCTGCTGAATTTTCTGGAAGTGAAACTTTGCAGGCAGTGTATCTGGAGATGTGTTGTGCTGGAGCAGGGATGTTTTGCCAACCAGACACTGCATGTCCCACCACTATCTCCTGCTGGATGCAGCCCACCAGCATCTTCAGGTTTCAGTTAATGGAGATACTTAGGAGAAATACCACCAGTTTACAGCAAAAAGGGCTGTGGTTTCAGGATGGCAACAAATACCTTTGGTGGAAAACTCAGTCACAAAGCTGTTAGTTCCCAGACCCACTGACAAGCACTCCTGTCCCCAAAATGGTACCAATGCAGCCCCGAGACAGCAGCCTAGACTTCGCAGCCAGAGGAATGATGCAAGACAGCAGGATTATTTCTGCACTGGTGCAAGACAGGTGTTGGAAGGAACTCCTAGCATTTTCCTAGCATTGTGTTCTGTGGCTGATACTTCACAATGTGTCTCTGTGCTTGTCCACACAGCTATAAAATACCATGTGTTGGTGCAGTGTTCACCCAAGAGCTGCTGCACCCAATGTTGGGGGCTGCCAAGCTCAGGGACAAACCCAGGTGTCCACAGGAGTCAGTTACTTGCAGTCTGCTCAGAGAGCTGGTTTTCTGGGTAAATGAGGAAGGCCTGCATTTCTCAGTTTCAGAACTTCAACCAGAAAGACGTAGTATTTTCAGCCACGCAGAGTCACAGGATTGTATCTCCTCAACTGAAAGCAATCTGAAACTATCACTGGATAATTTCAGATTTAAAAATGCATGCACATTGCTCCTTCCAGCACTCAGCAACAATACCTGGGGTTGCAGGTATTCCTGTTTCATTCTCAAAGTAAATAACATGTCTGACAATAAATGTGATTGTGTACATTACTGGCCTGTTTCTTGTCACATTATTTAGTCAGCTACTTACAAAAAGCATTATTAAATGGAGGGAAAGGGTTAAAGGGAGTCAAAACAAGACACAGTGCACAGCCTGAAGTTCCAACCAGGCCTGATCCAGGCAGATACTTCAGCTCATTCCCATCCTTAACCACAGAAGTGGCTCTACAGGAGGCAGATTACAATGTACGGCATATCTGCAAGGTAAGTCTGATCTCAAATCAAGGGAACATCTCAGATTCAGAGCAGCACGTCCACACTCAGGGTCACCACTTGCTTTGGCAGGTGTTCAACCCAGAGCACATGCTCCGGTGCTCTCTGCTCAACAGATCTCGCTGCAATAACCGAGCAGTCTTTAGCAGCACATTTGGACCTTAAAGACAAGCATCAAGATTTATCAAAAATATCATTGTCCCTGCCAGAGGAGGAAGAAGCAGTGAGCAGAAGACCAGCACACACATTCACCTGTGCTTTCTGGGCTTGGGGATAGTTTTTGGGTGTGTTTTGCTGGTGAAGCTCCAGAGATGTCATAGCTATGACTTAGGGCAGGTTTTGAAATTCAGGACCACCTCTGTGGCCTTCTGTCCAGGAGAGCAGGAGATGCTGGTTCTCCCCAGCAGAGAACAAGTCCCTCTGCAAAGCACTGCAAATGCAACCTTCAAAGACTTCCTATGATGAAACCTCCAGTGGGTCTTCTTTGAGATCCTCATGGTCCTCATTCTCCAGCTGCTCCAGTTTGCTGGATTTCTCATGGACAATCTCCCCAGGAGTCTTCAGAAATCTGAAATCCATTTAAATTGTTTTAAATGCATGTCCAAACCAGGCTGTAAATGCTGGAGTCCTTGCCCTCACCAGCTGAGCTCTGCAGTTTACTGAAGGGTGTCTGACATCCCCAAGACAGCTCTTGCTTTGCCTTCAGGATGCATGGAGCCCACAGAGGCAAAGCACAGCACACATCAGCCCAGCACTGGCATTTTAAGTTCAGGATAGTCCCAGAGAAGCAGCCAGCACTGAAAACGGGAGACTCCTGACTTATTTCCACCTCTTCTATTCAGAGGTAAACTTCAGACCTGATGTCAATGGAGAATGGGAGGGACATGTCCAGCTCAGATGTGCTCAGGGACATTTCCACCAGCACCAACCGGACCCCACTGAGGACAGCAGATGGAGCTCATCCCTGGGCAGATCGCTAGCCCACAGGGAGCAGATCAGATGGGATCTGGATCACAAGCATCCCAGCTCCCCACTTGTACAGGACACAGCCTGGATGCAAACCTGCCAGGGTGTTGCATTTGCAGGGGAGGATATAAAGAAAGAAATCAAAAAGCAACCACTTAGGTTTTACAAAATCAAAACCAGCCCAAGCTTTTTATCTCAACATGAAGGCCAGTTCCTGCTTTCAGACAGATGCACACAGCTGCTGTTGGATGCCTGTATGCACAGCAGCATGAGACCAGCTAGGAATAGCCCCAATTTCCCCTCCAGCACCATAAACCCAGAGGACAGCCCACATTCCCATGCGTTTCCCCAAACATACAGCAAAGATTCTTCAACTTCAGCTCAGCTCTGGACCATCAAGAATCCAGAGAGATGAAGCAGCTGGCAACATCTGGAGCACTGCACCTTCCTATGCCCCATCTACACTATTTCTCTGGTCTGTTTTCTCACCTGAACAGCAGCTTCTGCCCCGGCTCCTTTTTGATGATGTTAAGTTTGTAGTAATGTCTGAGTGCCCGTGACATCTTTTCATACGTCATGTTCATCCTGTTCTGGAAGGAGAAAGAATTGAGGAGGTTGAGTAAAAGCAAGCACCAACATCTGCCTTGAGTCTGTTTGCAGGAGGAACAAGTGTAGGATATTCAAGGTGGTTTCTTGGGCATTGCAAGCATTAGCATGGGTCTCTAACCCAAGCTTGCTTCTAGCTCGGCAGCTACCATGGTTTGCTTTTCAGGGGATGATAACATCTCCCCCGTTAATGACCAGGAGGTTGGTGTCCCTCTGTAGCCCTGTGCCTGCTTTCTGTCTCATCCTCCCCAGTCCCTATGCCATTGGCTGTGAAGACCAGGTCAGGAACGTGACAAGAAATCCCAGAAATGACAAGTTTCTTCTCAACTGCATTTACCTTGTGGTTCCCCCAGAGCTGGGCAAGTCCATTTGGGTTAACGATGCGGAAGACCTTGGCTTCCTTGTCTTCCCACCTGATGTAGGGCATATATCGACTATCAGAGAGGAGCTGGTATACATAATCCCACAGTAACCTGCAATCTGAGAGGTGGCACACAAGAAACAGTCACAAAGCTCACACTAAGGCACTTGTGCTCCAGTGGAGGTCGGTCAGCAACAGGATGTTAGCAATAATAGTAAATTATGTATACAGTAAATGTGTTAGCAATGATAGTAAATACAAGAAGAGCCCAGAGCTCATGTACAGCACTTTTATTGCTTTTCAGGTACTGAGGTACTGAGAGATGCACACTGTACTCAGCTTTGGTGAGGCCGCACCTCGAGTACTGTGCTCAGTTTTGGACCCCGCACTACAGGAAGGACATTGAGGTGCTCGAGTGTGTCCAGAGAAGGGCAACGAAGCTGGTGAGGGGTCTGGAGAACAAGTCTTACGAGGAGCAGCTGAGGGAACTAGGGTTGTTTAGTCTGGAGAAGAGGAGGCCCAGGGGAGACCTCATTCCACTCTACAACTTCCTGAAGGGAGGTTGTAATGAAGAGGGGGTTGGCCTCTTCTCTCAGATAACTAATGATAGGACTCAAGGAAACGGACACAAGTTGTGCCTGGGGAGATTTAGATTAGCTATAAGGAAAAACTTTTTCTCTCAAAGAGTGGTCAGGCTCTGGCATGGCCTGCCTAGGGAGTTGGTGGATTCACCATCCCTCGTGGTGTTCAAGAAGCACCTGGACAAGGTGCTATGAGATATGATTTAATAGCCTAGTGGGCAGTATTGGTGATAGGACAGTTGGACTAGATGACCTTGTAGGTCCTTTCCAACCTCATGTTTGTATGATTCTATGATTCACACACTGACACGTGGAATAAATAGAAGGAAGACAGATGGGCAGATGGGATGAAGCACAGTCTCATTTTCCCAAGGAATGAGGCAAAAAAATCATATTCACCTGCAATTTTCCCATCCACTGGTGCTGACAGGGCTGTAGGAAATGAGCAGACGGAATCTGCCCTGCAGCTGCCCTCCGGGTTGTGATGGGAGAGGTTCAGGGGCTCCTCCCAGCTGCGGGATGAGGACAGCTCTGTGTGACCCAGGCAGGATGAAAGAGCAACCGGGGCAGCCTCCACACCACAGTCCACCCCTTCAAGAGAAAAACCCATGCTACGTTATGGTGGGTCCCAGAAAGTCTTTCAAAGCCCTGAAACAGTCAGAGAGGGCAAGCCTGGGGATGACCTGGGTCAGTTGTCAGCCCAGGCACCAGCCCAGCTGGATAAGGCAGGCGCTAATGAAAGTCTAATGCTCTTCCAAGGCAGAAGCAATAGCAGAATGAGCTCCAGAGAGATTAGAGGAGGTCCAGAGGTTCAGAGAGATTAGAGGAGGTGCCAGGTGCAATGAAGGCAGGACGTACATTCCTTAAAGGAAAAGAAAAGCTAAAATAAAGGAATATGCTGGAACACAAGCATATGGCTCTCTTTGAAACTGACCCTACCCGGCTACTGACCCCACCAAACCAGACCCTAACCTGCTGATAGACTCCCTACCCTGGCCATGGCCCTGTGTGGTCACCACAGACTCACCTAGGGACCACCAAAAATGATTCTTACCTTTAAATTGATTTCAGACCTGCTTGTTCACTGTGAATTTTCTTGATGACCTGGATTTTGTTGGAGCTAGCTGCTATCATCATGTATGTCCTACTTTCCTTGCTTAGGTACTGTGAGATGGGTTCAGCTGGCTGAGCTTCAAACCCCAAGTGTGTGCTGACGTGACACCCAAAACGTTCCTGGTAGCTGAGGGAAGGCATTGCTTCATAGCCACCATTCTCCATCATACCTTCCTCTGTGGTCCTGGCCTCTTGGAAAGGTGAGTTCAGCAAAGGGCTGCACACCAGAGCTCTTCTTTGAGTCTTAATGTACTGGAGTAATTCATATAACACATCACCTGCAGGGAAGGAATGTGAGCTCAGATGATCTTGTTTTATAGTAGGGACTCTCTCATGTAATATTGTTGCTTATATTTCTGCAGTACTTGCAGAGTAAGATGTTATTCCCCATCCCAAAGAATTTGCAGTCTATCTAGTTAAAGGAAAGAGTTTTTTCTCTGTCTCCAGCACCCAACTGGCCACACAGAGCTAACACCAGCTCTGCCAGCAACCATTCAGCCCACCTCAGCCTGTGCTGTTCTCAGTCCTCATTCACACCCTTCTTCATCTAACCTGAGCTAGGAGCTCGGTATCTGAAGTCATCTTTGGTAAGGATACACAGTGCTTTGCCATTCATTTCAAACTTGCTTTCTTCGGTTTGTCGAAGGGAATACTCTTTCTCTGCCCATCTGAGCCAGTGGATGACATCGTCCTTGCTCCACAGTGAGGGCTGGATTCCTGAAACAAGGGGCAGTCCCATCCTCAAAACTGGTGAAGGGCAGTGTGGAACACAAATCTTCTCCATCACCAAACTACCCCTCTAACATGGACCAAAATATCCCCAAGGAAATGAACCTGGAGGATTGGCCCATTTTATATCCCAGCCTAGACAGCAGGGATATAGACAGTTGGATGCCACAGCTGTGCCCACCATGTCCCACCCTGTGGGAGCTCCCTTTTAAGCAGGGTTGACTTGCCCAACAGCTACTCACTGAGCCTGCCTGGTAGCCTGAAGATTTCCCCTTCACTGATTGCTGTGTGTCTGGGGTGGTACTGGGGTGGTAATGAAGCTGTAACAACCGAGCTGGAAGAACCAACTGTAACCTTACCCTGGGGAAAAGAGATTAAACACATCAGTGGGTGGAAATTCCCAGCTGTCCTGCTTTTGCTTTGGAAAGACCTCCACCATGGCAAACACTGCTCAGACAGTTTCTGTTTTCCCATAGCACTGTGATGCACTATCTGCAGCTCCTCTACCAGCCCCAGAATGAATCTCTCGTTGCCCAGGACAGTGTTAGAAGCCAGAGACCCCCTTCCTCTTTCTCCCCTTCCTTGCTTTTTTTTAGCAGAGAGACCTGTCGTCATCCAGGCTGCAAGTGTGGGCTCCCAGCCACCTCTGTCCCGTGGCTGCAGGGAAGCAGAAGATGAAGCCAAGACTGGCAGACATTCCTCTGATGCTCACCAGATGCCTGCAGTTTTAGGACAGTACTTCAGTTCTTTAGAGTTGCAAAAATTAAGCTTAGGTTTTTGTCTTGAAAATGCCTTGTGAACAGATCTCTTATTTTTTTCCCTAGTTGTCATGTGGACATCAGCGGAAACAGCCACCTCACTGGGAGACAACCATTCATCTTGCTCTCCTGCTGTCAAGTTCCAGCCCTCTCAGTTGTTCATCAGGGAGGCCCCCAGCCTCTCTGAGAGCTGAGATGCTCCCGGAGCCCTCGGAAATAGTCAGCACTGGAGGGAAAGGCAGCCCCAGCTCCTCTGCGGGGCTGGGGAGGTGGCATTGCCCCCATACTGCCCTCACACTTCCATCCGGGAAACTTCAGTCCTGCTTTCAGCTCTGTCTGCATCTTGAAATATTACTGGCAGCCACGCAGATAATGTTTCCCCTCAAAAGTCTATTAACACGAATCCCAGAAATTGCTCAGCATCATTCTCTGGAAAATTAAAAATTTTGCATGCAAATGTTATTTTCTGAAGCAGTTGCCTACTCTGGGCGCTTCCGTACACCCTCAGGCAGATTTTCAGAGGTGCATAAAGCAACCGCTTTGTAAAGGAGCTGAGCCCCAGACTCCCAGGGGTGGAGAAAATCCCAGTGCGTACTGAAAGTAGGCAGTGGTGCTTGGGCACATCTTAACTGCGAAGCTGGTGACCCCAAAACAGGAGCATGGGGGACAGGAGCCGAGCATGCTGTCACCCCCAGGGCAACAGTGCTTGGGTCACATCAAGGTGCCTGGAACAGCTGGAGATTCCCCAGGTTATTTCTACTGACAGTGTGCTTTGTATTTTGGCATTGTCAACAGATGACTATGAGGAACTATGTTAACTGCTCAGTCTTTTTATGAGAAACATGAAGAAGAGCTGAATCACTCCAAAACTTGATCTCAGAGGGTGATGGTGTTTTCCTCACCAGGACAAGCATCAACAATTTTTCTGATAGTGGTGAAATAAATCGCTGCTAGCTGTTGTGTCTGAGCTGTTGGTCTTAGCAAAGCAAGAAGTTGTATGATATTGTATGAGGACACCAGAGAAAAACCAGTGAAGATTCTGAAGACACTTTATAGCAATGCAAACCATTTCGGATTCATTATAAGCAATAAGCTACGAGAAAAATAAAAGTGAAAGAAATTAGCCGTGCATTTTGTCCAGAGCTGCCTGAAAGAGGTATTTTAGTTTTCTCCCATTGACATCATTCCACTACAACGAAATTTACTGGAAAAAAAAAAAAAAATCAGGTGCTTGATACTTATCTTGCTTCTAAAGATTTCTAGGGCAAAAGAGACACGTTCTTGTATTTTATTACTTTGCACCGATTCTTTAATATTGTTGGTTTGATGGTATTTGTTTCCTGCTTAGCTGTTTTCAAGCATATTTCTGAGATGGTATTTGTGTGCTTCGAGAGGAAATATCGTTCTTAGAGGTTACAGAGCAGGAGCCCAGGAGAAGAGCGGTGCAAAGCAGGCACAGGTGTGCAGGAGCAGCACCCGGATCGGTGCCGGCCGGCAGTGACCGAGTGGCCCCGCTGCTCCTGTCTCTGCCCGGTGCGGGAAAGGGCGGAGGGGGGGGGGGGGGGGGGTGTCTCCCCGCCGGGCCTTCAGGTGCCCCTCAGCCCCAGCGGCGAGCCCGGAGGGAGCGAGGGCTGCGGGCTCTTACCTGCATCCCCGCTGCCGCCGGCTCGCCGCTCCCCGCCGCGGTGCTGGGCGCTGCCCCAGTGCCCCCGCGGCTTGGCGCTGCCCCGGCCCCGACACCCCCCGGAGCTCGGCGCCGCCCCGGTGCCCGGCGCGCGCGGGTCGCGCTCCTGCGGCCGCTGCGGCTTCGGCGCGATCTTTCCGGGAAACGAAATCGAAACGAGCCGGGGCGCCGGGAGGCAGGAGAGCGGCGGGGGCAGCGCCCAGGGCCGTGTTCCCCTCCCGCCCCCCCGGACCATGTCCCCGCCACACCCGGGGGCTCCCGCTCCGCCCCGGGAGAAAGTTCGGCTCCCGCCGCTGCCCCTTGGCCGGGCCGGGCCGGCCCGTTACCGGCACCGAACAGCGCCGTTGGCAGCAACAGAGTCCCCCGACCCCCCGCGTCCCTGTGGGCTCCCCCGTGTCCCCGCTCCCGACCCGCAGCACGGTTCCGGGGAGGCCGGCCGGGAGGAGGTCGGAGGAGGCTTCCGTGTCCCCGGGCCGGGGACAGCTCCCGTGCCCGCTTTCCCCCTCCTCCCCTCGGCGACCGCCTCCGACCTCGGCCGGGCCCCGCCCCGCCCCGCGTGCACCGGCGGCGGGCACCCGCGGGCGGCCGAGCCCCGCCCTGCAGGCGGCGGAGGGGAGGGAGCGGCCTCGGCGGGGACGCGGTGAGCGGGGCTCGGGGGCGGCAGCCTCCGCCGTGCGTCGGGGGGGCTGCGGAGGGGTCTGCTCGGCGCCCTGCGGCTTCCCAAGCGCCCCTCACGCGTCTCTCGGGGCTTTCGGGGCCGGCTCGCGGGCCCGGGGGAGCCCGGCGCATGGTGGCGGCCTGCGCGTCCCCGGCGGGGCGCCGCTCGCTGGGGGCGCGCCTGGGGCCTGCGGCGGGGGCGGCCGCTGGGGGGCTGAGGGTGCCGGCCGGGCCCTGCTGAGCCGGAGGCCCGCGAGGCCTCCCCCGCGCAGCGCCGCAGCGGGCCGGGACCGATCCCCGGCGGTAGCGCTGCGTCCCGACCTCCGCCGCGCGTTATCCCGTTGCCCAGCGCTCTGAGGAGGCCTCGGGCCGTGCCCGGTGCCCGCTGGTGAAGCCGCTGCCACCGTAGCAGGGAGCGGCCTCCCCAGCCCTGCGCTCCGGTGCCGGCTGGGCACGGTGCTGTCCCACGCGGGTCCTGGGGCTGTGGGCTGGTGCGTTGTTGCTCTTGAGGCGTGCTTTTAAGCTTGAGTCTGCCTTCCCTTTCCTCTCTCCTCTTTGGCCCTACAGTGCTCTGAAAGGGAACGGGAGTTTCTGAGGAATGTGGGATTTTCTCCTTGAAGAGTAGCAGTGGGTGAGATGTTGGCTCTGCTTGCGGGCACCTTTTTGTTGTTGTGAACCACCCTCCCCCCCCCCCCCCCCTTTTAATCCCATTCACTCTCTTTATGCTGCCTTCTCAGTGACCTTAAGCTGTTCAGGAAAGGAGTAACAATAATAATACTGAAATACTGGACTGGGGGTCTGAGAACATGCATCTGTAGAAAGATCACTTTGAATTGCTTTATTAGGGTTGCTGCAAACCCAAGTCCCATTCCAGCTGTAGGTTATGCCTTTAAAGAAGAAAATCCCCCTGTGTTCCACATGTCTTCTTACCCTCACTGCAAAGTCACAATCCTTCCTCATGGCATTGCCAGCAATCACAAACCATTAGTAGCAAGGAGGTTGTACATGGGGAATTAACAGGAAGATACTGTTCTTGCTTTCAAGGTGTGTCCTTGTTTAACCCTGTCCCTGAACTGAGAGTCACTGAGACTTTGTTGGTTATAAATACTTTTATCCTCAGTTCATAGAAATGTTTTTATTCACGTGAGCATCAAGATAGTGAGTTATTGGGCAAAAAGCTGCAGGTTAGTATGTAAGCAAAGCTCCTTGTAGGTGTTGTTAGTTATTCTTCAGACTGGATTTATTCCTGTTTAGGAAAGCAATCATAGTTCAGTGAAATAAATGGAGTGATGCTGTTTACAACTTGTGTGTATTTATATCACTTTTACAAAGCAACCTGTGCATCAATTACTTATACTGGTGCAAATATTTTCTGTAATAATATCTACACGAGAGGGTCTTCTATGGTTCTTAGGGTTCAGATGGAGCAGTTTATGTGGACTAATCATAAGTGAAACCTGTATATAAGACTATGTCCAGAATTATTTGAGCTTATCTTCATGAAGTTAAAAGCAGGTTTTAAAAAGTAAGTTATGCTTTAATGGAAATAAACATGTGCTGAGTTAGCTAAATTGGTGTTTGTTTCAGGGTAGACTTACCTTATTTGCAGCATGTGAAATGTTTCACAATCTTCTTCAGTGCCATTTTTTGTGCTGCTTGTGTTGAAGGAGATGAGTTTTATGTTTTGGTCTTAAAAAGAATGTTCTTTCAGATAGGAGTCTATGGAGGAACCCTATTACTTTAGCTCATTTAATCCTAAATCTGATCCTATCTTGGTCTTTTTGTGGTGCCTTCGTGTCTTTGCATGTTCACTCTTGCCTCCTCAGAATCCAGAGGTGTTGTAACCATCTGTTTTGAGTTTTTTGTTAAGTATGTTGTAAATGTTTTTCATGTGGCTACACAGTCTGTCTTCACAGGTCATGAGAAGTAACAGTAATGCCTGGTTTTATTACTTGATGCTTTCAGCATGAAGTTTGGGGCGTGTTAGGATGTCCTTGTTGCTTGAACTCATTTTGAACTCATACCATGTGCCCATGATGGCCAGCCAAGTGTTTGGTTCACAGTATAAGAGCATAATCAAAGGAAGCAGACTATAATGTTGTTTAAAAGTAAAGATATTAACTCCATTTCAAAAACCTGAGAAACTCCAAGTAGAAAATTTGGATGTTGAGAAAAGTAAATAATATTTCAACCATTGTGATGAATTAGCTGCTATACAGCACTGCAGTCTTATAGCAAACACATTAGTCCCTTTTTGCCAAAAGATGTTATCACATAGAAATATCGGCCAAGAAAGAGGTAGCCATAGTACAGTATTAATAATTACATCAAAGTTGCAGTCCAGTTATGAAGATCCCTGCATGATGATAGGCCAAGTCAGCAGCCAAATAGCTTGTGAAAGGAGACTTGCAGAGCTACCTGAAATAGCATCTTCCCATGCGGTCTGCTGTAGCTATGTATCATTGCTAAAAACAGTTTCAGAAACTCTTCCTTTTAGTAGAAAATAAACTACTGCTTAATGAATGCAGAGTGGACCTCCCTAAAACATTAGCTTGGGAACAGACTCAGAGACTGCTGTGTTCTTCTTAGAGATCCCAGAAGAGCATGCAGAGGGCAGAACTCTTTCCAGGAAAAGTGCTGAATTGGTGCCTGCTGATAAAGGCCATTTCAGCTGTCTAAAGGATCTCATCATTTTAAATGAATTGTACAATAGAAAATAGTGCCAGGTATAATAGCAATAGTGCCGGGTCCTGCACCTGGGATGGGGCAACCCTGGCTATACATACAGACTGGGCGATGAGACACTGGAGAGCAGCCCTGCAGAGAGGGATCTGGGGGTTGTGGTTGACAGCAAGTTGAATATGAGCCAGCAGTGTGCCCTGGCAGCCAGGAGGGCCAACTGTATCCTGGGGTGCATCGAGCACAGCATCACTAGTCCGTGCTAGGGATTGTCCTGCTCTACTCTGTCCTGGTGCGGCCTCACCTTGAGCACTGTGTGCAGTTCTGGGCACCACAGTACAAAAAGGACGTTAAACTGTTGGAGAGTGTCCAGAGGAGGGCGACGAAGGTGGTGAAGGTCCTAGAGGGGAAGACGGATGAGGAGCAGCTGAGGGCACTGGGCCTGTTCAGCCTGGAGAAGAGGAGGCTGAGGGGGAACCTCATCATGGTCTACAACTTCCTCACAACGGGGAGTGCAGAGGCAGGTGACCTATTCTCCATAAACACCAGTGATAGGACCTGCAGGAATGGTGTTAAGCTGAGGCAGGGGAAGTTTAGGCTGGACATCAGGAAGAGGTTCTTCACTGAGAGGGTGGTCGCACACTGGAACAGGCTCCTCAGTGAAGCAGTCACTGAACCAAGCCTGCCTGAATTTAAAAAGCAATTGGACTGTGCACTTAGTCACGTGGTCTAAACTTTTGGGTAGACCTGTGCAGTGCCAGGAGTTGGACTTGATGATCCTTATGGGTCCCTTCCGACTCAGGATGTTCTATGATTCTATGAAATTAATTTAGCTAGAGCATGAGTTCATTACTGGCTAGTTCAACCCATACCCGGACAAGCAGCATAATGCATTCTTTTCTGTGAGGAAATGTAAAGGAATAGGGGAGCTACTACCATTTTATCTGCTTTATTCATAAACAGAGCTAATTATGAGTTCAAAAAATTCCAGTTTAATAAAATTAGCATTTTCTGCAGATTTTTTGCAATATCAATTGGGGGGGGGGACTTGGCTAGATGACTGATAAAAGCCCCTCTGATTTTAGGTTTCTGATTTGAGCATGACAATTGCATAGAGCCTGTGGACTAGCTTTTGCCAAGGTTAGTACGATTTTGAGTCCCCAGCTTTTGGATGGCCTTGCTGTACAAATTGTCATCAACTGAATAGCCTCCTGGTTTTAAAAAACTTTGAAATTTTAGCTTCTGTCCTGTAGCCCAGTTTCATTCCATCTGCATTCTGTGAATCTGAATCTCCTTCCAGTGTTTCTGTCTTAGTGCCTGTATAGAGAAGATAGAACTTGTAATCCAGGTAGCTCAGATGGGATGATTCCAAACCCCTGTGCTCCAGGATAGATACGTCAGCATGGCTGGCTCATGCAGCCCTACTGTATCCTGGGGAAAAACAGGATGACCAATGCGACCAGTGAGGAAGAGCTACAGGAGAGACTCTAGCCAGCCTGCAGCATGGTGGGAGGCACATCAGCAGTGTGAATATCAAAATTCTCAGTTTTCTGAGATGAGGATGTGTAGTGGCTGATCTGACATCCTGATTTTGCAGCCACGTGTTCCCCAGAGCCCACAGCTAAGATGGAGCCCTGGGATATGTCAGTGCATGCTGGGAGGGAAGGTCAAGGAACAATAGATTTCCGCATCTAAGATATCCTGCTTTCCAGAGGAGGTGCTTACAACAGGATGCTGGAGTTGAGGAAAGTACTCTTGTAGTCTCATGTCTAAAAGCAGTGGGAAGAGACTCCATTAGCTTGTGCTTTGGAACTAGTGACCTGAACCCCTTTGCAGAAGACTGTTGACCCAGCGAGGCTAGATTGTAACACAGGAGAACGACAAATGCAGTGCTAAGTGTGCTTTTATGTAAGTATTTTTTAGGAGTCTGTTACAAGGAAATAGTTGCAGGTGCTGAGATTAACCGAAGTCCTGGGACTTGCTTCCCTGTGTCTCATTTAATCAGGCAGATTTAACTTTCATGGCAATTTATCCTCTCTCTTGTTCAAGTTCTGATTTGTGGTCGAGTTCTAATGTGCTCTCTGACCTGAGCAGAGATCATATGCTGCAGCCTGTGTATTTTTTGGCTCCGCTTCTCAGAATGCATAAGAGAGCTAGCTAGCTGTTCATGAGCACAGGCCTGAAACTGAGAATCAAAACTGTCTGCCAGTGTCAGAAGAAACATTGAATGTGGCCTGTACTCACGCAGATGAGAAATTTCGTCTTCAGTGACCGGTTTATTTGTTCCCTGGCTTTTGCCCTCAG